CAAGAACGTGACTGACACGATAAGATGCTATGGTAGCAGCCTTGCTCTTGTTGTTGGGCCTGGTGAAAATGGACTGCTGTGCATTTAGCTGTCCTTTCAGGCCCCTCCCCTTTTGGGAGCGTAGGGCAGAATTAGGAGGGAGTTCCGTCTCGTAGCGTTTGTGCACTGTTTTGAAAATGCCGCTCCTAAATTACCCTTCTTCGATAAAGCCACGCTCGCATTGCAGATGACAGATGGAGTTTGAATTGGAATAGATAAAAATAATCATCCTCCCACTCGGAGTGAAAATGATATATTTTGGGCTCTTTTGCTTCTGCCATAATTGCGGTCTTGTGTGTGTGCGGACTGTCACTCCTGTTGACACGGACAACGTCAGCGAAATACTGCCCACTGCCCACTGCCCACCAGCCACGCCCCGACACAGTGGGGTCACGCCGGCCAATCACAAAGCTTTGATGCGTTCAAGTGCATTATTCTGGCACAGGAAGATTATGTTATAGGACATTAACGATAAAACAGAATATTGTTGTTCTATTTTTAGACACATCTCGCGATCGACTGGGAATCTCCCCGCGATCGACCGGTCGATCGCGATCGACTGGTTGGGCGCCCCTGGTGTAGGGTGTGGTTTGGGATTGGGCCATACACACGCACTTTTTTTGCCCCCCCCCACTTCTAAAATGAATCCGGCGCGCCTGGCTTTTGGTGTCATCCTAGATGGAGAAAATAACCAACATCTCACGCTTTTTTAATTGGTACTGTTGGACTCAGTACTTGTTAGACTATTACCACAAATACAATGAAATACTTTTACTGTGTACTTGTTGAGTAATACTCTGTCAAACTCCCTTCCAGAGTACAATAATGCATGTTTTTAGCTATCTTTGATGAGAGATAAAATGATATGTTGCCATAAGTTCTTAATACAATTGGCCCTGTTGGACTCAGTACTACTTGGACTACTCCCACAAGTACAATAAAGTATTTTTACTGTGTACTTCTTGAGTAATCCTTTGTCAAACTCCCCTCCTGAGTATAATAATGCATGTTTTCTGCTATATTTAATAAGCGTTAAAAGCGTTCACAATACTGGGAGGCTGTGGCTCAGTGGATAGTCTGCTGGACTTCGAATCAGGGAGGACAATTCACCCCAAATTGCTCCTGTGGGGATTGTCCACAGTACTGAATGCATGTAAGTCGCTTTGGATAAAAGTGTCTAACAAATTACATGTAATGTACAGATAATGTTAGACAGAGCAGTAGCGTGGCGTGGGAAAAAAATTAGGGGAAGCCAATAATACGTCCTTTCTTTTGGGTCGGGGGTGTGGTGGTCAATGTAATAACGTAACCAGATGAGTGATTACAGCACCCGGTATCATTTTACACACATTTGTATCATACAGATGCAGGACTTACCTTAGGCCTGTTATCTAACCGACAGGTCCGCACGCACTCTCCAGCCGAAACTCTAATAAGCATTCATTCACAAACTAAATCAGGAGACCTTTAACGTTTTACGTTCGATTCGCTCCTTTTTTCCTCGCTGTACACAGCTCCAGTTTGGGCATTGGCCTGTCATCAGATTGTATTTGTTGTTGCTGCTGTAGCGGAAGTTTAGTACAATTATTTTTGATTAAATACTCCAAATCTCCACCCTCCATAATTGCACTTGCTTCAATTGCTTGCTACTTTCTAACGGCGGTGAGAGTGATGCAGTGACGCTATCTATCTTCTATCGATTAGATTTATGATTAGAAAATTATAAAAGTAGGGTAGACATGTGGATATTATCCGACTTAACAAAACATGCATTTATCTAACAGGTTCGTTATCCACTGACCTTATTTCGAACTATTTTCCAAAATCCTATGGAGAAATCCCACTGCCTTTTTGTCGAGGGAAACCGAGCGCGGCTTACTTCCGGGTTTTAGGATGCGTCACTGCAACACTAAATTGATGCGATTTGATTGGATTGTGAGGGAAGCCAGCCGCCTCGGTCTTCCCTTGGCATGGCCCTGACTAATCACAGGTTGGCAGTGGCATCACGTGAGCCTTGGCTGATTGGTCAATCCCTCCATTTTTTTTCACCAAGGGAAGCCAATTTCGGCTGGCCTCCTCTCGCAACAGAGAGTGCAATCTACTGTTTCACCATAACATGTAGAGGGGCGCTGTTTCACTATTTGTAAAATACTCAATGAGAATGGGGGAGAGACGGGCCGGCAACAACACACAGCACAGAACAATTACCGAAACCAAACGAAGTGTTTTTATTTATTTATTAAAATTATAACTACAATCCGAAAAAACAGGGGAAGCCTGGCTTCCGTTGGCCTCCAGGAGAAAACGCCACTGAGACAGAGTATTTTAAGAGGATATGGTAGACAGATGACATCAACACTATCCACTAGATCAGTACTCCAGTAGCAGCATTCACACCGCAGTACTTTTCCCACAAAGGTTCATGAGAACTTGGTTCATGAGAACTCTTTAGTTCTCATGAACTAAGTACAGATCGCGTTCACACCGGAATAAGTCCCTGGGGGTGGATTAGGCAAATGAAGCCGCTGACGTCACTTCTTCTTCTTCTGCTTTGGGTTTACTGGCAGGCCGCAAACCACTTCACGGCGTATACTGCCGCCCAAAGTCCCCGGCCGGAAGTCCCCGGAGTTGGGGACTGGCTTCAGTAGAAGCTGCTGGGACTCCCAGCATCTTCTACTGAAACCTTCCGAGTAAATCGCCAGAACGCCGACACCTCCTCATCTCCTCATCTCCTCATCTCATTTCTGCGCTGGGCTAATGCTAATGCTAATAATGCTAATGCGAGGATAATAAAATGGCGGCTTCACACTTTTTGGGAGTTTTACGGGGCGTGGTTTGCATTCCGCCCAGCCAATCAGAAATAGGAACCTTTTTACCCCCACGAAAGTCCCTGCTCTCTAGCAGGGACTTTCGTGGGGGTAAAAAGGTTCTCATGAACTAATTTTAGTACCGGCTCTTTTTGGTGTGAACGCGACAAAAGAGTTCTCCTGAACCTTTGTGGGAAAAGTACTGCGGTGTGAATGCGCCTCTTGTTACCCCTTGGAAAGCCTTTAGAGACTATCCTGGATAGCTGTTCACAACTTTCCTTCAGCACAGTGACACACCCCTGTCACTCTTGTTGGCCACTTATGATGCTGCTAAAGTCCTTCAACTGCACCTTTTTAAGACTGCAAAATAGGCATTTGTACTGTATGTGTTTGGAGAAATGACACAATAAATGGCCCAGATTTGTACACATCGAAATCTTGTAGTGCAGGAAGAAATACACACTGGCTAAGCCTGCAGGTGATATAGGCGTTGTTTTGCAATATTTATTCAAAGGTCACTTCTTATTTAAATAAATATCTGAAATATATATAATTATGTCTTATCAAAGATAGCAGAATGCATGAAAGAATGTACTTAGGACAGGAGTTTGACCTAGTATTACTCAAAAAGTACAGAGTAAAAGTACTTGATTGTACTTGTGGTAGCATAGTCTAACAAGTACTGAGTCCAACAGTACACATTTTATTAATAACTTATTGCTAAAAATAATTGTATCTCTCATCAAATATAGCAGAAGTGGCATGATTTTGTTCTCAGGAGGGGACTTTGAGAGAGTATTACCCAAAAAGTACATAGTAAAAACTTCATTTTATTGTAGCAGTCAAACTAGGACTGAGTCAAACAGTGACAGTTTTATTAAGAACTTTTGGTACAAATGACTTGTATTGCAAATAAAGCAGAACAAACATGCATTATTTTACTCTTGTACAGCGATTACCGTAAAGGCGCTATTCATTGCGCACTCAAAAATGAATAGCTGCTGATTTGACCAAGCGAACTCGAGAGACGGCTGAGTTGACCGCAGTTATGCAACAGCAACCGAAGCTAAACTGACTATCTTGACTACTTGTTGCTATCCTATTGTGGCATAAGCCGTTTTCTACAGGCACATTTGAGCTTTTCATTATGATTCTACTTGTGATAGTCCGACAGCACAGCCTGTGCAGCCCATGTATTGATTACATCTGATAGCTGCTATAATACAAAACAACACTTCTGCCTCTCTCCACAATGATCAATGACAGTGAACGGATGGTCAAAGTAAGGTACACATAAACAGAATCACACGAAGCCTGGTTAGTGTTGCCTCACTTTATAAAGTGTGTTATGTTTTTATAAGTGTGTGGTTGAGTTCTAGTCACTTTGCTCAGCGCTACTGCTTGTTACAACTTTCATTTGCCATACTCGCCATAAACTGTTATTATGGCTCAGGTTAATCTCTCCCCCTTCCGACGTGAGCGTGGTTCTTGGTTCTTGCCGGGCAGCCAAGTGGGGTCAGCTAAGAACCGGTTTCGGTGTTTAGAGCCGGCTCCGCTGCGGTTGAAACAGGAAGAACCAGAGCTAAATCAGGCTGTAGCCCGGAACTGGCTCTGGACTCAGAACCAGAGAAGAACCAGAAGAGCACAAGAACGGTTCTTGAACCGGAACCGGTTAGGTTTATTGGCAGTTTGCAAACCACTTAAGAGTACTGGAGTGTTAAATAAGAGCTATTGAGTCAGTGTTGTGGTGCTGTTGCTTTGGTCTGGATCTGTGAGCTAACCACGCCCCGGCCATTTGCATATAAGGAATGGAAATGTGTCATTATGAAATACAAGTCTCTTGAAATAAATAAACGTGTCATTATGAAATAAAAATCCCATGAAATAAATAAATGTGTTTACATGTACATGTATAGGCCTACATATTTATTGCCTCATTTATTTATTTCATAGGCATATTTATATATGTATTTATTTAATTATTGATGTATTTATTTAATTTGGGCTTAAATGGCATTCCATACAGTTCTTCTACCTACTATTCTACTCAAATAAACCCCCGCGTCCCTGCAGCACGTGCACTGTACTGTAGGTGGAGTTTGAGTTTTTAAGGCGGTGTAAAGTGATACTTGAGGGGTGGAGCAGGGCAGAGAGCTGACTTCCTAAAAGCACATTCCCCTGCTGCTGCTTCAAGCTGTCTGGGTGAAGCTATGTGACTCTGCCTGCCGCTGAGGGTGCAGACGGAGTACACTCTGAATGTCTCCTGCCCCAGTCATACTTTCACTTTCACAGCGCAGGATCGGACACTGAACAACTTGTAGATGTCCCGGATGGAAACGGACAGTCTACTGACCGGGAATATGAACGGAGCGTCCGGGGATTATGGCTCCTCGTCGGGCACAGAGGACCGAGGTTCCCCGGGCAACAGGCGGATGTCGTACAGTGTCGCCGGGCAGTCGTGCAGTGTCGATAGGACCCCAGGTGAGTGGAGCTTCAGCCCGCTGTCAGTCTCAGGTCGCTGACCCTTTCTCTGGTTGTTATTCAGGACAACAAGTCTATACAAATAGCAGCACAACAATGTCAAGTCCTCCATTACAAACAAAAGTCATTCAAAACGTTCCTCAACTAAAAGTAAAACATATACTAAATAAAAACAGAAAAACGTATTATGAATAGCTTTAGCATCAAGTTCTAACCCAACTATAGTAGGGGCCCTGAAGTACAAATGACATATGGGCCATAATCATAAAAAAACTATTTGGTTTGGTACTGGGCTCTCCTGGTTGTTAGAACCAGTCTTTTGTTTTTTGTAAAGAAGGCCAAATATTGTCACCTAATCGTGACCTCGGTAGCCCACAGACTACATTTCCCACAGCGCCAGCCTTTTAAGAGACACAGATATGGGCAACCTGTATGGAAGAAGACACCGTCGAGACATACTTTTTAACCATTAAGTTACATTAGCCTACACAATATAAAAGAAAGACGATCTTAGCTGTTTATTCTTATGAGTTTTGCCTCTTTTGTTTAGATTGTTTTGAATATTGTAAATGCCTAAGATTTATATTTTATTTTGATTAAACTCAGAGTCTCACAACATCAACTTATCGGAAGACCATAAACCAGGGTCACTGTGAGGCTGGAGCCTTTGGGGCCCCTTAGGGTCCTAGGGCCTTTGGGCAGAGTTGTGCCTTGCCCATTAGAAAGCTCCTGTGCCCTGCTCTGTTTTCATATTGGATGTTTATCATTTACTGATGCATTCACGTGTGAGTGGTATTTTTTGGCAACAGAGCTAATTGTAACTTCTTTCTACTATCAGTTTATCAAGCCTGTCCCCTCTCAAGCTGCAGTTTCCTGTCCCTCAGTTGATGAGACCCCACCTCCACCACGTGTTGTGTGTTCAGAGAAACTGCCCCCCATAGTACCGTTGCAACGCCTGTTATTTTATTGTAACCTGTGTGGCCATTCTCCTCTGATTCTCACCGGATGCTTTTTGTTTTTCACACCATTCTTTGCAAATGCTAGAAACAGTTGTGTGTGTGAAAATGCTTTCTGAGATACTCAACCCTCCCTGCCTAACCCCCACAATCCTTCCTTAAACACTTAAAGTCAGTTGCACCACACTTATGATGTATTGTTTGGACCAACAAACCTCTAGCCCATGTCTGCATGACTTCATGAACTGAGCCCTACGGTTAAGGCGAAATCAAATATCTACATTTGAAAATAATGGCCCACTGCAGTTTTCAAATCACAGGACGAAAAATATTTATTGGCAACATTTGTCACCATACCATTTTAAAACGAAATATTGTCATGCTGCAGGGATGTTCTGTTATCCTACAGATTTCTTAAAACATTGTTAATAGACACCTGGAGAAAAAAATAATGATCACACCATAATGACTTTAATATAACTTTTAAAGGAAAATTGAAAAAAATAAACGTCAAAAATGATAGTTCCCTGTAATATAATGTTTGCAATATAAGTAAAGAAAATCCAAATGTTTCTTGATTGTTCAGCCCTACATTCACAGCACCTAATAAATTGGCAAATCACTCGTTAGTTGTCGTATATATTAACAGCACAACTTCTGTTTTAAACTGTTAAAGATGAATACATTACTTATATTCTGTCAAATGTAATAAAATGTATAATACTAATCACAATTTCCCAATCAGAGGGTCATGTCTTCTAATGTCAGTCTCTAATGTTTTGTCCAACTCACAGTCCCACCCAAACCAAATACATAATAAAGTGTTTGTTAGATCTGGATACTGTGATGTGTGATTTGGCTTCCTCCTTGTGGTGCGTCACCCATCAGGTGTCAAACCATTTCATTCAGTTCTTATGTCAGAATGGAATCAATTACTCTAAGTGCTATAAAACCAAAGGTAGTAAAGAGGTTGTGTTGGTGTAGAACAGGGGTCGTATTGGGGAAAAGCAGAAGGTGGTATAAGAAAAGAACAATTATACAATGAGAAAAGCAGGAATATGTATCAGATTTAGAATTCCTGTATTAGTCCCGCAGCTGTTACAGCTTTTTTTTGGTACATATTAAAAAGGTGTTGAGGCATTATACAAATGTTTAAAACAGTTAGGACATTAGTATTTCTTCACACACATTGAAAGATTATAGCTCGTTTAATTCCATTTCATTTATGATGGTCACAAAGTCCACTGTTAAACCCTTAGCCAAGCTCTTTAAAGTGAATCGAGTTAAAGCAGCGGTGATGTGTCCTGTGACTCCGGGTATAGATGAAAGGTTTCTCTGTCATGCACTTTGTGTATAATGCCACATCAGGGCTTAAGGTGCAATACATGTCCTTATATGACTTTCAAAAAGGTATGGGACTATATGATGACATTGCAATCACAAGAATCTTAAAACTAGGAGATATTTTGGAGAATTGATCGAAATCCTGCTGACTAATTAGGTCATAGAATGAACATTGAAATGTTTTAGGAAATCCTCTTAAATTGACTCAGAGGAAAAGATACGTTTCATGACTTGACAAGGTTGGACCTAAACACATTAAAAAGCAGGAGATGGTAATAGATCACAAAAATAAAGCTTTTCATTAAAGGTGGGGTAGGTAAGTTTGAGAAACCGGCTCGAGATACACTTTTTGTTATATTCCATGGAATGCTCTTAACATCCCGATAGCAATAAATATATTAAATGCTTTGACAATAAATACATAAAAAATGTCATCTGTGGAAGCCGTAGCGCTGTAAAAAGCACGACCAATCATCTGAGCCGGCCCGGCTAAAGTAACTGGATGGCCTACCTGCCTGTCAGCCTTCCATCTGTGCACACACTTATCTCGTGCCCTCATTGGTCATGTGCTTGTTTGTGTGTGTTGGAGGAGGGGCTCTGGAAGGAAGTGGCAGATTTGTTCCGGCTGTGTATTTTCAAATTATAGCGCACTCGAGCTGGTTTCTCCAAAATTACCTACCCCACCTTTAAGAAAAGCTAATGACAATAACATGGGGACCAGACAAGGTGAAACAAAACAATGAAAATAAAGAAAGATTAAACGTGTACAGACCGGAGGGCACTAGAAACGAGAGCAGGAACACTGGCAGGACTTCTGGGAACCAGACAGGAACATCAGACAACGATCTGACAGAGAACACAAGGGGAGACAGGGGCCGTTTCTCAATCTCGAGGATACTGGCTTCCAAGCCAATATTTCAAGGATGCCACGTCATCAAGTGGCGCAGCAGGACCGTTCCAATGTCCAGCATACTTGGAATTCCACCGAGGCAGCGTCCTTGGTTTGGGGGAAATTTCGAGGCTGCACATGGGTAGACTTCGCGTCCTTAAAATCCCCACAATGCTTTGCGCACGGACCAATTTAAAAAAAAAAAACCTTGCGGAGAATGGCTGAACCGACACAGCACACATTTAAATGTAAGTATGGAGTGGCGTAGAACACGTGTTGGTAAATGTGTTACTTTGTTACATTTGTTATCACCAAAAATGTGTTCCGTGAAAGTAAAGCAAGTTCATAATTAGATAGACATCGTGAGGTATTTATTTTTGGTACAGTTTATGTTGAAACCGTTAGAGAGAGTGGCACACTTGTTAGTCTGTTCCATTCTTCTTCGTTTTCTGAAGCTGTGGCTTGGAAGCATACTTGCTTCGTTTCTGAAGGAAGTGACTTGGAAGTACGCGACGACCAAGCCAGTATCCTCGAGATTGAGAAATGGCCAGGGGGTGTTTCTCAATGTCGAGTAAAGCTGCTCCAGAGCCACTATTTTAAGCATACTACGTCATCGAGTGCCGCCGAAGGACTGTTCCAATGTCCAGCATACTTGGAATTCTACCGAGCCCGGCGTACTTCGTAGCGAGACATTTCGAGAAACACCCAGATATAGGGTGTTTCTCAATGTCGAGTACGCTTGCTTGGTAGCACATGTCTTCCAAGACACTTGCTTCAGAAGCGAGGCAAGAATACTTCCTGGCATTCGGAAAACGAAGAGTGGAACAGGCGAGCAAGTGTGCAGGTGTGCGTCATATGAGAGGCCCCGCCTTACATTTTCTGCCACAGATTTGGGGAAATTGGTTCGTGCGCAAAGCATTGTGGGGATTTTAAGACCGTGGAGTCTACACATGTGCAGCCTCGAAATGTCTCGCTACAAAGTACGCCGGGCTCGGTAGATTTCCAAGTAGGCTGGACATTGGAAAGGTCTTGCTTGAAATAGTGGCTCTGGAGCAGCTTTACTCAACTATAAGAAACACCCATATACACACAAGACTAATCACAGTCAGACACAGCTGGGGAGGGCAGGTACCAACACAAGGGCAGCAGGTGAACACAATCACACAGGTGGGAACACTAAGACATGAAGTAAAACCAGACAAGACACAAGGACATAATACATTTCAAAATAAAACAGGAAACAACATAACACCAGGATCACATGGATGCATCCAGTATCGTATATGTCTTACCCTAGATTAGCACGGAGACTAGAAGCAGGGGAACTGCTAGCAGACCGCCGTCAAAAGTAAAAAGCCAACGCTCATAAACTGCAACCATCATTGCATCCTCTTATTGATCTTAACACCAAAAGAGTCCCTTAGTGCTGGGACAATGTTCAAACCTGGAAACCTCACTATTGAACACGATGGTATTACTGATTGAAGTAGAATATTATTTATTCAAGCATATGAAAGTCGAGCATTCCTTACTATTTTGATTGATTCATCAAAATAGTAGATTTCTATACATTTTTCATATTTCTTTTTACTGTGTGATTAGCCTTCTTGCTACTTTTAAAATGTAGTGCTTCGGTAATGGAGCGAAGATTGAACATGTGCTAGATCAGAGAAGCTGTCAGAGCTTGTTCCACAGCGGTCAGCTGCTCATGTTCAATGACTGAACTGTTCCATGCAGCCGTTACACACACACAGACACGATGACTCAGTTGTGGTCACTCACACACTCACACACTCACACACTAACATATTCATACATGCACACACATACACAATTGGTGCTGCTGAGTCAACGCTTCACACACAGCAGGACGTGTCATGAGGGTGGGTGGGGGCCACAGACAGGACTTAACACCACAGACGCACAAGTGTGAGATGCACTTCTCAGTTGTTGCAGCAACATTCGAGTAGAAGAGAAACTGTCAGAGAAATGTTCTGCTGCTGATTTCTAACACCTCTCCTTATCTATTCAACAATAATGCAATAACTATCATCTATTTATTGGTTAAATATGAATTTTCAATTTTAACTCATTTAAAATAATAGAATTTTGGCTTGCTGTATATTTTAAATAATGTGTTTTAGTCTTTATTTATCTGTAATGTAAATGTTCTTTGGCAGTAGAAGAAAGGCCTAGAACCAAATCCCTGCTCAATAGAGTCAACATCCAGCCCATATTTAACTGCAGTAAGCCTACTGCACCCTTAGCCGCTTTCACACCAAGTACTTTGCCGCACTTAGTTCCCAGCACTTAGTACCCCCATGGAACTAAGAGCCGATCGCGTTCACACCGGAATAAGTCCCTGAGGGAAGATTACGCAAATGAAGCCGCTGACGTCACTTCTTCTTCTTCTGCTTTGGGTTTACTGGCAGGCCGCAAACAACTTCACGGCGCATACTGCCACCCGAAGTCCCCGGAGTTGGGGACTGGCTTCAGTAGAAGCAGCTGGGACTCCCAGCAGCTTCTACTGAAGCCTTCAGAGTAAATCGCCAGAACGCCGACACCTCCTCATCTCCACCGCTCCCATGTTTTCTTTTTGTGTTGCCATTGTCTCTCTCCGTTGGTGCGCTGGGCTAATGCTAATGTTAATAATGCTAATACCGGCAAATACAATGGCAGCTTCAAAAAACTTTTCAGAGTTTTACGGGGCGTGGTTTGCAATTCGCCCAGCCAACCCAGGACAGTACCACCAGTACCACAGTACAGTACAGTACAGTACCACAGCAGGCACTAAAAAGGGGGTAAAAGTTCTCTGAACTAAGTTCTCTTTTTGGTGTGAACGCAAAATTCCAGGCACTAACGGAACTAAACGGGAAAAGTACTCCGGTTTGAAAGCGCCTATTGCCCCTCAAAAGGAAAGGACGAGAGACCGTTCATCAATGCAGAATCATCTATTTGATATTTGATTTACAGTTTTAAAGAACAAAACCATGAACGGTATCACAGAAGTAAGCAGCATCCTCATAATTGAAAGGGGCCGTATTCTGCTTTTGTGGTTTTCTTTTTCCTGTGGTGTGTTCTTCTAACTGTTTTTGTGCATGTACTGAAAATGGTCTGCAAAGGCTAAAACCCTACACACTTACTAACACTTGTGCTTCTATTGGCTAGCACTCCAACACATTGTACATGAAAGGCTAAGGGGCGGGACATTTCCAGCACATGTCTAAGCGGTCGACCAATCATTACAAAGCCGGCCCGCTAACCAATCAGAGCAGACTGGGATCTGGTTTCAGACAGAGGGTGAAAAGATGTGAAAATAAAGACCTTTTTGAACTTTAAAGCATAGAAACATGTCTCAGTAGAGGCACAAAACACAAATATGAACCTGAAGATGAGTACAATATTTCCTGAAATAAACTAAATGCAAAAGCCTTGTAATAAAGCACAAGAATACCCATCAGCCTGTGCTTTGTATTATCTTTTGTGGCTCTGGAGAAGCTTTGTTAAGTCTGACGATATAATTATGATTCAGCCTCGGCTGAAAAATACTTCAGTCTCTAGTTGGCACAAAATGAGCTCTAGGCTTCTTTATTTATCTGCATTTATATTAGTTCAACATTCTGTTCAGACTTTTGTTTGACTAGAGTTTGTAAAATAAGCCACACCTTTGTCAAAGCATTCAGGGGTATCTCAGTTCCTGTTTTTCCAAATCCAACCAGTTCCTCGGTCAACAATATTCCCAAGACAGTTCCTGCTGTCTGCTTCAGTCAGAGGACATGTTAAGCTGTTCACCGAGTGGTACACTGTGGGATTCTGGACAGTAAAGACCACATTGCTCAGAATATCTCTGAGATATGTAAAGCTGTCTGTTACTCCTGCGTCTGAGACCCCGTTCAGATGTTGCTGCTGCTTACATCTGTCTCGCTGTCCACAGGTGATGAGGAGCTCTACCTCCAACAAGCTGTGGTATTTATCGAGGACGCCACACAGGTCAGCACTTTCCCTACTTATTTTCTCTTCTGTAAAGTAATAGAAGAATGTAAATGCAAACATGAACAGAACAGTATGATATGTGGGTGGGGTTAGACCTCAGAGACTTCTTTCTTACAATGTGTCCTGTCTTTACTGTAAGCTGTCTACCATAACAATGCCCACCATAGATTACTATGTGAAGATATAAGGTCTTTGATCACCTGGGTTTATGAGGGTTACTTTAAATATATATTGCGTTACAATTACTAGTTACCTCTGTAAACATTATGTTATCAAAATATAAAAGTAATGTAACCAGATTACTCTCCATTTAAGTGTGTTATGTAAGAAAACGGAACAATGTGACAATAGAAAAGAGGACACCAAGATATTTAGTATCAGACATGTGTCCTCTGCTCAGAGACTGTATTGATAGGAAAACCTGCCTTTCATGAAGCATATTCAGGCAGCAGCCTATACACCAACACTGAAACAATGCTATAGATCAGGGGTGCCCACACTTTTTTGGCTGGTGAGCTACTTTTGAAATGACCAGCTCACTGAGGTCTACCATCCAAAAACATAATCCCAAATTGCAAGGGTTGCTGAATAACACATGTATTTATACATGGGATAACTACAATAGGGCTGCAACGACTCATTTGATAATCGATTAATCTATCAATTAATGAAACGATTAATCGACTATTCGGACTATTACTGTATGCCTTGCACAATTTCTCAAACGCTCTTATTTAGCCATCAACTTTTAGATTTAGCTTGAGGTTGTTTTAGGCATGTGGAAACTAACAATGAAGACAATAAAGATTAATACTTGATTCAAAAATACATATTATTAAATTAACTTAACATATTGTGAACAAAATTAACATTGCTTTTTATTTAAATAAAATAAATAATATTTCACATCAAAAGAAACAACAATGTTTTAACAAATTGTATTACATAATCTGATGACAGAACTGTAAACAGAATAGCTGAGACTTTAACAAAATAAATAAATCATTAACCCATGTTTGTATAATTGAGTTAACTCTGTGTGTTGCTGCTAGCATACATAACACCTGACATGGAAATGTTACTCGTGGAGGGGGCTACAGAGCTACTAGAAAGACAGTGGAACCCGGTGCATTCCTCCGTCTGGATGTGGTGCACTTTTGCTAAATGTTTAGACAAATTGCTCGTGTTACCGCCCTTACATGCTAAACACTCTTGGCAACGAGCATTGTCCACCTCAAGACGGGTAACATTTAACCACACCTTGGAGCAGCGGCGCCGGATTCATTTCAGAAGTGGGGGGGCCTAAAAGTGCGTGTGTATGTGACATAGCCTACTTGCCAACCCTCCCGATTTTCGCGGGAGACTCCCGTTTTCCTGCCGGGGTCATATTTATCCCGCATTTCTCCCGATTTCTGACTAAATCTGATTTGTTTCATTCTAACATAACGCACCAAATGTTACTGTTTCCACTCGGACTTCAATACAGCTACACCATTGTTTGGTTTTCATGGTAACGTGTCTCTTTAGTAGCGCGAGCAAATGAAAGTCTGAGAGGGTCTTCAGGAGGAAGATAGTCAGAGAAAACAGAACAAGAATGGACAACTCAACCCTCTGCTCACTCCTTTCCTGTAAATTAAACTATACAGACCAGCCCACACATATGACAGCGCAGTTGCTCATTCTATCTCTTCTTTTTTCCTGCTACGCTCTTGTTTGACAAGCTGAATGTTGACTGGTGTTTGACTGAAGTAAGCTCTGTGAAAAGTTCCAGTTATTAACTCTGTATTTACAAAGCTGTCATCTCCACATTTGGAGAAAGTTACAAGCCGTTTGACAGCAGAAAATCTGCATATTTCACAGAAGGCTCGTTTAGTGGTTTTGCAAATAATTACACTCTCTGTTTTTGTACCATTCTGCATTGAAGTACCCTCTCTTTGCCCAAATAAGCTTTTATTTGCCCGTCACAATGTCCCGACAACAAACCTCCATGCAGTCGGAACCAGCCTGTTTCGGTTCAACGATGCCGGCGGCGGCGGTTTTGACAGCCTCTGCGGCCGCAGAGCTGCTGCTGGGGTTCATCTGGCTGCGCTGGTTCTATGGTTGAAGGACCAGGCTCCGGAGGTGTGGATGTCAGGGATGTGACATTCAAGTTGTTGAATTTCAGCTTAGTTTGACTGTATTTTGTTTTCTTATGCGCCGGTTCTTCTGACATGTTTGCAAGTTTATCTATCTAGGTTAACGGCTGACACACACTGAACAACGTAACACATAACGTAAACAACGTAACAAATAAACACATCTAAGCTTTGTTATTGGTTGTAATCGATACATTTGAATGGTGTGACAATATTTGATTGGATTAAAATGTACATATTCTTCCTGTTATGTCTGCCTGCTGTATTTTACCTAATGCAAAGTGACCTGCTCCATCGAAGTCAGTCGCATTGATCCGAAGACACATTTTGAGTTGTATACTGTTGGAAAGAGGAGATTCCTAGCTTTCTAATGATATCAGGATTGTTTTTGTAGCCTACTATATTAAGCAAAATATGTCACATTATATAATGACTGTCACAGAGTCATCATTTTGAGAAAAAGGCCTTAAAGTTTCCTCTTCTCTGGATCGATCTGATTGATTATTAGCGGAGCAAATGATCAAAGTAGTACGGAGGGAAGATATTTTCGTTTGGATTACTGGTCTGGGGGAAGCTCGCGAGTGTGTGTGTGTATACGTGTGTGTGTTTGTGTATTTTTGCGTTTGTTTCCCGGAGAAAACTCTCAGGAGAAACACCGGCTGTTGTTATGCTTGCTGTGACGTCAAGTTACTCCGTTCTCCGCTTGTAATTATGTCGTTAAAAGCTTCAAAGCTGTATTTATCATCTGAATTTGCCGAAACAAGTTTAATATTCTGAAAGCCAAGACTTTGTTTATTTGAAATCAGATGAAAACAAACTGTAACGGACCCTGCGGTGTTATCTATGATTACTATGCCTTACATTCATAAGCGGCGCCGTGGAAGAGCAGAGTGGCGAGTGAGAGGCGAGCTGTGTTCTTCCCTTTACAAGCTTCAAAAATGCCTGTAGCTAATGAGATTGAATATAACAATCAAAAATATACACAGCTACTGTAGATCAGATGGCGTTCTTTTTAGATGCGACTTTAGAGTAGAGGGGAATTATTGAAACGGGATGTGTACAGTGTTCCGCGGCATCCGCTGCTGCGAAAATGTGGGGCAGGGCCGTAAAGTGGGGGGGGCAATGGCCCCCCCGCTTCCGGCGCCCTTGCCTTGGAGCCAGTAGTGGCAGCGCCAGGGTATGGCTGGGGTAGGCTACAGCCATACCAAGAAATGGCTTAGCCCTACCTTAGCCCGACCATGAAAAAGTATGTTAAAGTAAGCATGTTGAGAACACGGATTGCAAAAATCTACCGGTCGTGTCCATAACACACAAACTGATCCTGCTGTAACAACAAGTGCACGTTACTGACGCAATATGGTTGAGACCATTCGGGCTTATGCTAGAGGGGTGCAAGGAATAGTCTAAGTAGTGGGGGAGTTTTATACACTAAAGGTGTGAAAATTCTCTGGCGTTATAATATCAGCGCGGCCGCGGTCAGATCAAAATGCCTCCGAATGCAATTTGAATAGACCTACAGCCAATCAGAGCAACGAAACGTTGGGTCTGCTGCGTCATGCATTACTGATACGTCGATACGTCACGTTCACAGTGAAAAGTCCCCAAACTCTCGCCGAGTAAATTGCAGACAGACAGACAGCAGAACTTCTAGGATTAATTGTATATTTCGGATGGATAGATTTGTTCTTAAACGCCCTCGCATTGAGGTACAAGTCAAACAGGTGCCAGAGTCACACGACCCACCTGAAGAGTGAATAGTCAGTTTTGAATATATTTTGTAATAGTCATTTGAAAAAGTGTTTTGTATGACAATAGAGACACAGGCCACCTGTTGTGTGCTGTGTCAGTCCCTCTCTGTTTACCTGTGTCTGTGTCTCTCTCTCCCTCTCTCTCTCTCTCTCCCTCTCCGTGTCAATTCTATATGCCAACTTTTCTTGTTTCTGCCGCTGCGTAGCATGTTGTAACAACGTGGAATTAGCAGAATAGGCTATTGTATTGTTTAACTCATACCTGTTGCTCTCGATGTCATTTAGCTGATAAAAGGAGACTAATAAAAGCGAATAAAAGCCTCACGCTTGGCGTTTCACTGTCAAGGGGGGCGATATAGCGTGTATGTAATTACATTGCAAATACTGACTTGAGCCCCACCACTGTATGGGTTAGCCCTACCATAGATTACCTAACAAAAATACTCTGGCGCCGCCACTGCTTGGAGCGCTTCTCTCCGCCATCCCCGCCGTGTGTTGCTGCATGGAGCAGCTGCGTGTGTAAACCCTCGCACACAGACGGGGGAGAGAGATCTCGTCTGGATTGGAAAGATCAAAAATACACCGACCATAGACGCATTTGTTTGTCTTTTTGCATGTTAGAAACTAGTTGGCGACACTAAGACTGCGAGATAATTCTTTCACACACAGTGACGTCACGAGCTACCCACAATGCAACACGCGCCATATAAATATATATAAATGCGCCATTTTCCTGGAGGTGATAATATCCTGGAAGTGCAAATATAAACAGCTAGCTAATGTAGCCAGGCAGAGCGCAGTAGGTTTTTTTTCTGAATTAACGACCGAAGAAATCGCTGCATGTCTTCGGATTACATCTCTGGACTTGAGGGGTGTGCTTTAGGTCGTTACCAGCGTAAACTAGAGCTGTGTGGGTTGTTACAGACTGCCTGCAGACGTATGGAAAAACGACAGTGGCCTTCGTCGATTTTGGCAGCATCTACGTCTAATTTCGGGAAACACCAGGTGAATACCCCACTTGTTTCAATAATATTATCATGCCATTGCATATATGTGGTATTTTAGAGTTGACTAGATATTGATTAATGCAATAGACTATGATATTCAGTACAGGAAGCTTAGCAACACCTAGACGGTGTACGGCTGCTTGCACCTCGCGTAAAACGGCGCAGACCGGAAGTACGGTGTCGCGCTCGGCCCAATACCCGTATGTGTGTGTGAAAGACATAATACATGACCTTTCTCAACTCGCTACTCGGAGGGAAGTCGCTGTCATATGCTTTGTGAACACTCCGATAATGCCTCTCCACATTACCTTTCTTTGGCAGAGCGACGCTTGCTTTACAAATAAGGCAAATAACCTTTGAATGTGACATCACAAACAAATATTCTTCCTCCCATTCTGGGTGGAAGTGGTATGTCTTTAGCTTTTTGCTCGGTCCCGCACTCATTTTGTTGTTTGTTTGTTGTTTGTCTCTTTAACTTAATTTGAGTTTTCCCGGCACTTGACTGATTTTGTATCGCTTTGCATTCTGGGTTAACAGACTGGAAAGCGATAGGTCGCTTTTTCTGTCAATCAAGTAAACTCCTGAATTAAGTGGCAGGGAGGCCAAGGGAGGAGGGATCAAAACCTGTTTTGTCAATTTTAACCATGATTTTAACGCTGGATATTTTTTTTTATGAATGACTCGCGATCTACCAGCATTGCGCGCAGTCAACGTACTGGGCACCACTGCTATAGATACTACAGTTTAAAAAAGCAGAAATAAAATCTGAGCTGACAGAAAATGCTCCGTTTTAGTTTAACACACACTATTTTATGAACATATAGGTTCACCTACTGAATTAAAAACAGAACAAATGAACCAAAGAAAGAGAAAACCATAAAGCAGATTCAGGCCGTAGGCGTATAGATTCACACTTATACAGTATTAGCCAACAGAACTACAGCTCTAAGAGAAGAGACAACATCTGATCCTTTACAACAAACACTATATGCTCTTTTTTATAACATTATTATCATGCTAGTAATTCCAATGTTGTACAATGTAACAGTAATCTGATTACGTCTTCTTCTCTTCGTTTGCTTGTGTATAGTACCGGTCTATAAACCACCGGGTGGACGCCCGCTCCCTCCGCCTGTATCGCTGGTACTACTCCAGGATATGCCAGTGGTAAGTTCTATGTTCACAAATAAAACTGTACCTGAGTTGCAACAAGTAGAAGTATAAGGGCCTCAGGGACAGAAACTGTAGAGTTGTGTGTTTTAAACTAATAGGCCTTTTTCGCAGCTTATTTGAATTCCATTTAGGCTAACTGCTCTAGACAGGGTTCTTACGGTCATTCAAAACCTGGAAAAGTCATGGAAATTCAAAAAGCTAATTCCAGGCCCTAGAAAAGTTATGGAAAACAATATTTTTCACAACATTTTGGAAAAGTCATGGAAATGTAACTAAAGTTGCATCAAATATAATTTATATTATATCTAATCGCCGAAATAGTAATACTACAATGATAATAAATACTGTATAGTAATGAAATGTAAAATGGCATTTAACTGTCGAGGTATTTTGCTGGTGAGAGATTTTAGTTGCTTTAGCGTGTAGAGAAACTAGTAAGCCTACTATTGGATTTGTTTTAGATAGGCACAACATGTTTCAGACCTTATTTTCCTGTTCCATGTTAAAATAAACAATTTTCAGTGGTACCGCTTAGAAAGAGTCAATTTTTTTGGTCATGGAAAAATAGGTAAAGGTCATGAAGAAGTCATGGAAAAGTCATTGAAAATCATTGGTGAAAAAGTGTATGAACCCTGTCTAGAACTGAACCATCGTTATTGCTATTCGTAACACCTGTGCTTTACCTGCTATAACAAGTGCTGTGAAAAAATTCCTGTGATTTCTAATGCAAATCTCTGCTGATATAGAGTATATCATCATGAGGTGTTTAGGTGTTCAGAAAATACAGTTAACGAGAGAGACTGAAAGAAACCATTTTGGAAAAAGATGACTACTAAACTAAGCATTTCCAATCTACTTATCTATCTGTTTTTTTTGTTGCCAGGCTATTCATTTGGGCATTCATATATATTTACTTATATAATCTATATATATCCACGAATATATAGATTATTTATTCACTTACTTCTCAATTTTTAAGCCTATACAATTAAAGTCTACACCTTCAAATGTGTTTTTTTTCTGTATCTCAGATTGATTTTGAAATAGCTAAAACACAAAAATAAACTGCTGTAGGTAATGATGTATCAATTTTAGCTATTTAATTAATCAAATCTGAAGCAAAATAAAATCGTATTATTATTGTGGGAAGGTTAGACAGTTAGAAGTCGGTGTCTGCTGCATCTGTGTCAGTCATTTTGATGAAGCAAACATTTAGCTATCTATTCTACTTCATCTAATACAACTGCATTAGAATTGTTTCCCCTAGGATTCCCATACATTTTATAGATATTGGTAATTTTGACAATGTCCTGGAAAGTATAATGCAAATGTAAAAGGGGTAAGCCCCTGTGAGATATGACAGTGGGTCTGTGGGTACCTCAGATGGGAGGATGAGGGTTAACAATATGTCAACACTGTTTTGACGAGTTTAACTTGAGAAAGCACCGTTTGGTAAGAGTCGTATGTATTATCTCGTGAGGTTTACATCTGTAAATTAAACGTTTTTTTCTACGATACCTACATCACCAGGTTCCTGGGCCTCACCATTGCGGTGTTGTTGTTGCTGGCGTTTGTGGAGCGGCCCTCCTCCCTGTCCATCTCCTCGGACCCCCGGTTCCGCTCCCCCGCCTGGCAGCCCCCCTGCGGCTTCACTGAGAGCTTCGAGATAGTCTGCCTCCTCATCTTCTGTCTGGACCTCGCTGTGAAGGTAAGCCAGGGGGGGGGGAACCTCTCCAGGATCATCCCTGACATGGATCATATGTGATGTTTCCAAATAATAGTTATTGCCTTTAAGGCTGCACAATCTATCTAGATGTTATTGAAATTGCAATATGGAATACAGTATGCAAATTGAGTAAGCACAATATTTGCTAATGGAAATATGTATGTATGTATGTATATATGTTTTCAAGTAATCAAGTCTCAAATCATGTCAGTTAAAATGATTGCAATTAGTTATTTTTTCCAAATTGTGCAACCTCGTTATTGGTCCGTTTGAACCACTGCTTCACACCATGTGTTTTGTCCTCAGAGCTACCTGATTGGCTGGGAGGAATTTAGAAAGAACAAATGGCTGATCGCCTACACAGCAGTCATTGTGTTCTCCGTCATCGACTGGGTGCTCTCTGTCAGCATGGTGTGTGATGAGGTGAGGATCTCCCTAACACCTCTCTGAGCATGTTCTGCCAAGAGGAGTGCAGCACAACGTCCAGCAGAAGCATTCATGTGGTCATACAGGAGTACATCTTAAACTTGTTTAGTGTGTGGGAAAAGAAAAGCTGGAGTTTTAACCTCTGGTTGTAGCTGTAGAGAGGTTATTGGCACAATACAAATAAGTACAAATAAGACTGTAGTCCACTCTCATTATGAACACAAATGAAAGGCTAACCAAGTAGAGACATATTGACTGACAGAGGTCCTGCTGCTTTTCACATCAACCCATGATGGCAGAGTATTTGAGCTAGGGTTACAATTATTCTAATGTTCCTGCCTACACCTCAATTTCTTTCTTCAATAAATAAATGATCTTGTTATATTTCAAATAGCTTGTCGATTTATCAAAACTAATGCCTTCTTGAAATGACCATTTATTTGGACATGAGGTCCTTCTGCAAGTGCAAGTCTTGTGATTCTTCACTCTGATGACCCCAGAGTGCTTTAAACATAAGATGTTATACATAAGTCTCAGAGGCAAGGTCAAGAGCGTACAACTGCTCTGTTAAAGAAACATATCTGTATGAATGAAAAGTAGCAGCGGCAGTATAGTAAAGGATATCAAATGTTGTATATTGTAAATATACAGTGCATCTCTTAAAACATCGAAGCAGACTTTGGAGTCTAGTATATACAGTACAGTATATTTGCCTATACACTTCAACTAAACTGAGCTGGTGATTTTTAAAGCACACTTATATCCATATACTGTATGTACAGAGTTAGACTTGCGTTCAAACTCCCAAATCAATTCCTAAGCATACTCTGTGTTGAGAAGTAGTGAATTAAATGAATCATGAATCATACTGCATTAAAAAGGGATCTTGTCTTTTCTCTGTTCGTCAGAGACTTAGAGTGCGGCGACTCCTCCGGCCCTTCTTCCTCCTGCAGAACTCTTCCCTGATGAAAAAGACGCTGAAGTGCATCAAGAGGACTCTTCCAGAGATTGCCAGGTATCTGACTTGTTGAAGCCGACAGGGCTCAGGCCCAAGAGTGAAAATACAAATGAGAATTTACGGAGACTGGATTGTGGCTGCTGACTGTCACTGCCATGTCACAGTGTCTGTTTTGGTTGATGTACAGGATGTGCAGCAGTGAAACGTGCACAATGGCTCGCTGTAGGTAAATATAGATCAGTGATCCGTTGTGCTTATTATGAAATACTTTATCAGCAAGTCACACAGACCAGTGATCACATAGCTCAGAAAAAAAGACATGTACATCACAGTCATCACAGTTAATGTGATGACAACTGATACAAAAATCATTATCTTGAACAATAAGAAGGATTTATTTCAGATTATATGGTTCTAAAGATTTGTTATTCAGACAAGAATGTTCAAAGACATTGGGTGACTATTTATTTATACTTAAAAATGTAAAGGGAAAGTCAATTACGACTTCCATTTCCTTACGAATCATCCAATTTTAGAGTTTTAAAATCGTTTAAAATGTTTTTCCATCCAACAGAAATGTAGATTCTGTTGACACCTGATAAACAGTCTCCAGTTTGGCTCCATTTACTTTCTGATTCTGGGTCATTTTTGGAACATTTTCGGTTATGTTTTGTTTGCTAAACTTGTTGTATTGCTGACTGGCCTATGACTATGCTACAGCTGCCGAGGCTCATGGGTATTGTAGTACTGATTGTTAAGAAACAAAGTTGAAATGAGTCAAACTAATGGTCATAGCATCAACCTTTGATATTATTTAAGAGAGTGTTTTCATGGTGTGTGTGTGTGTGTGTGTGTGTCCTCCTGTCTGCAGTGTCATCTTGCTGCTGGCGCTCCACCTCTGCCTCTTCACCATGATCGGCATGCTGCTGTTTGCTAAAAGCGAGGTGAGTTCAGGTCATTTTCTTCCTGATCAGCAGTAATCCAGTGACTGAGCATTGTCCCCGGACAGCCCCGGCACAATTGAACCCCTGCCCACTAGTATGATTGTATGAATGTTTTGATTGCTGTAAGTGATACTTTATGAAATATATGCATAACTTTTTAGGACTACATATCTACAATATGATGTTCACTTTTGGTTAAACATAATATTTAAGGTTCATAACATACTGTATGAGCACTACAGTTATGGCATAAGATGGAAAATGCTGAATAAGCATTGAACTTTGCACTTTACATTTTTCGTATGCAAGGAATTGTGGGACAGCACTGTCTCCTGTCCTTTCATAAAGGATGGTCCACTGTGTCGTATTAGTATAGGAAATGCTTAGAGAAGCACTGAAGCTCTTTTCCATTTATTAGGATCACTATGGTAATCCCCAAAGGGAAATTCCGTTCTTCACTGGTGTTATTTTACACTTACCCACACAGGCCTGAAATAAACACATGCACAAACAGGACCTATAACATGCACTAATGGAGAGGTGTCAAAGCAGGGGGCCGCTGTGTTCCAGTGCCCATGGGGCAGTTGGAGGTTTGGTGCCTTGCTCAAGAACATCTTGCTGTGCCGATTGAGACTTGAACTGGGGATTCTTCGGTTCCCAAACCAAGTCCCTGCAGACTGAGCTGCTGCCGCATTATCTTTATGTGACGAACATCTCTTATTATGGCTGCCACTTAACTACCTCCTAGTCTCGAGGAACTAAAAGACTGCAAATTGAGGGGCTGGAACCAAATGTTTTATATCTTACTTCAGTATTATATAAAAGTGTATGTAGAACAAAGTAAGGTTAGCCACTCTCCTTCTGTTTTTGTGTTCAGGATCCGAAGCGGAACGGGCAGTGGGAGTTACATTTCAAGGACTTCTCCAGCTCTCTCACCTCTCTGCTGGTGCTGCTCACCACAGCCAACAACCCTGATGGTACACACTCACTCACATAACACACATGTCTGTTCATAGTGTCTGTGAAGAGCTCTTTTCAACATTTCTCTGTCCTGTCACAGTGATGATCCCTGCCTACTCCCTGAACAGAGGCTACTCCGTTTTCTTTGTGAGCTTCAGCGTGATTGGTAAGCAGTGATTATTACAGTCTGTGTCAATGCAGCAGATTTGGTTTTTTGTCAAAGCAAAAACAATGTGTTTTGTGTTTCTGAGGGACTTTGTTGTGCTTCCTGGCAGGAACCTACTGCCTGATGAACCTACTGACAGCCATCATCTATAACCAGTTCAGGGGCTATTTACTGGTGAGTCACACACACAGTACGACATCACTCTGGGAGTTGACTAGCAGTTACAGCCTGATACATTGTTACTGGAAGCACAGTGATATTTTTTTTACTTTCCCAGGCATGCGTTGGTTTATATTCATTTCAGTTTTAGGAAAAATCCTTCAGCTTGCTATGAATGGTGAAGTCCATAAAACATAATTAAATATCTTTGGTTTAGGTTCTCTTTGAAGCCAAACTGTAACACATGTATACAACAACAACAAAACAATGGCTGTCCTGGAAGGTAGGACCAATACTTATGGAAATGGTCATCAAAATTGAGTTCGTAGTAGTGCCTTAATAACATAACCTGTTTACCTTCAATTCCATGTGTATGGCCCTTTAAGACTCCCCGGTCACCCGCCTACCTGGCAAAGTCTCTGAAACAGGTTTCTGAGTTGTGACTGCCATATGCTGGAATATAAGGGGTAGCTAGCTGGGTTTACCATTCTGACAAAAATAAATGTCATGAGTCAGTTCACACGCAGAACAAAAGGGGCGCAAGTAAGGATAACACATGCCTAGCTTTATTTAAAGGTAAAGCTGTAACAGAAAACATGCCTGCAAGAAACATAGGGGAGTGTAAAAATACAAAGAAAAATGTCAAAGACTAAAATGAGGAACAACTGCGACGGCTCAAGGAAACACAGGCAGAAAATCCATGAGGGAACATAGGGGATAAATAGTGATTGCAGTTTGACACTGAAGCTTCAATACGGGCTTCAAACCCTGGTTTTCCTATTCCATAGAAGCAGTGCTTCGAAGCTTGCTTCAAATCACGTGACATGTGACGTCCGAAGCAGCAACTGCTTCATTTCCTGAATGACTCAACTCACTGGTTCGCCGTCCAATCAGGTTATTCAATGCACTGCCTCGTCTCGATTCTGACAGGTGACAGGTTGAAAGTTGAAACAGTTTAGAATTTGAGCGCTTCAACACTTTATGACCGCTCTAAACAATGCGCAATGTGTGGGTTGTTGTCGTAGTTTGCATCGTTGCTGCTGTTGAGTTGTTGTTGGTATTGCATTTGTATTGGATCATTATAGAGCAAGCCAGGAAGAAAGATAGGTCGTTCTGGCTCGGGAAACACTTCAAAATGTGGAGAAGTTGTGAACAAAAAGACAATTATGAGTATTAAAAAAAAAAAAGTTCAACAGTTTAAAGAATAGATAGCCCAGTGGATAGAGCCAGCGGCCCGCATGAGGCGACGTCCTCCACGCAACTGGTTTGAATCCTGGACTGGATTAACTTTTAATCATTGCTTTTCAACTTGAATACTACAACTGATAAAAGGCCCTCTCCGGCCAAAAAGATGCCTTTAGAAAAATACAAAATAAAAAGAATAATGTAGGCTACCTCAATAAAGAACTTTGAGTGTTCCCCATCCCCAATGTAGATATCTACTAAACTAGAGCATACAAATACAGAGAGTAATGTAGTCCTGTTATACTGAGTGATATATATTTTACACACTGCTCTGCTTTCTGCACGGACCCCACAGCTGTTCTCACTGTAAACATCGTGTTGCGATGAAAGCAGTTACTAAAATAATATCCAGGGGATGCATGCAGAGCTGTCATTGGCTGAGATAAGTCCGGCCGTGCGTAACGCCTCCACCGTTCCTGGAAATGCATCCGTGGAGGAGCCGTGGAGGATGCATCAGTGTCTCCTCGATCATAGCTCCTCCAGAGAGCCTCCTTGATGCTCGATCCTTGATGTGCATTTAGAGAAATGAGATGTCCTTCAACATGGCGCGCTGAAATCCATTTCCGGGTCACTACCGGAGGACCGAGGAGTCGAGGAAGGGAAATTAGAGTATTGAGAAGCCTTCCAAGACAGGAAGTGAAACTCTACATGACACAAGAGGTTCATCTCAAGGTTCATCTCAATGTCCCTCCTCGACTCCTCTCTCCCCCTCCTCCGGGACTTAACCCGGAAATCGATCAAGACACGCCATGTTGAAGGACGTCCCAATCTCTTAAATGCACACAGAGGAGTCGAGGAGGGGTGAGGGAGGAGGCTTCCAGAGGAGATGAGAGCGAGGATACACGAGAGCAGACTACGTGGAAGTGTTTTCACTACTCACAAAGCCCCGCCCCCACCTTCACAGCCTCTGCTCACTGCAGCTGATCGTACCGTTAAAGGAGGATCAGAGTCATTCAATGTTTAAAGTGCTTCATTAAGAGTAAAATATATTAAATCTCTTAAACGAATGAGGAGATCATACTCTATAAAAACATTAAAGTGTGTGAAATATACTTACAAATTCAATAATAATGTTTTGATTATAAAATAATAACTTACAGTTCTGACTTGTGGTTTGTGATGCATGTGTGGTAGACCCACAGAACGTCAGACATTTAGGATATATACAAATACGGGTAGAATAACTAATACATATGTTAGTGATTTGTGTGTCTCTTCTGTAGGACAAACTAAATAACAACATCCAATACAAAAGTTGATCTGAAACAAGCTCAAATACCATAAGGAAATGAATCCATCAATTATGATTATTGTTGTGATTATAATTATAACTTAAATGAAATGTTATAGCTGGAAAAACAAATACAGGACCGAAACTAATACATAGAAAACTATAATAAAAGAGATGAATGGAAGAGATGGACGAAATCATTTCAATGAGAAACTAAATCCCAGGTTTGAAGGGATTGATGTGGAGAGTCCAGTGACAGGTGATACACTGCGCGCACCAGAAGTAAAGGGCGTTGTTATGGGGACGCTGGAGTGAACGAGGACATCCCAATTAATACCTGAGGACTCCTCTGTCCTCGCGTCTCTTCCTCGTGTCTCTCGCTCGCGTCTTACGGAGGCGGAGCTAAGACGCAAGGAAGGGACGCGCGTGAGGGAAAGGAGGAGGTGAAATATTCAATTGAGATGAGCCTAAGGAGAGAATACTTTTGACAGTTCATCTTTAAATATCAAAAAGGCAATGTCATCTATATCTATACAGGAACATTAAAAGGTAGCACAAATGCACAACTATTCTAATAAAACTACTTTGTCAAATGTGGGAATGATTGTGTTCTTGTTTTGGTCCAGATGTCGGTCCAAACGTCCATCATCAGGAGACGCCTCGGGATCCGAGCTGCTTTCCAAATCCTCTGCTGCCAGGGAGCGGAAAGGGCTGCTGAGTAAGACAAACGCATACTTCATCTTTAGCTGTATTGTTTGTATTGTCACATTCTTCCATTATATAAAATGAACAGAAACATGGAGAGAGTTGTATTGGTGTCTCTGATAGGGAGGGTGTGGCTGTCGATGTGATGCTGAACGTGATGTCCAGGGTCCAGATGAAGAGCTACTACAGAGCAGCTATCACTAAGGTCAGAGCACACACACATACACACACACACACACACACACACACACACACACACACACACACCAAAATAACGTTTTTTTTGAGAATCCTAGAAACTTTACAAAAAAAATTATTAAGTAAAATTATTACTTATATTTCCGTGATGAAAGTATTGTCTTAATCTCTTGTTTCAAGTGTTTTTCAATAAAGTATGATGTTAATTTAGTCAAATATTGTCCCATTTACAGTCAAATAGATGATATAGCAGGGAATGCTTTAGGGCGCGGCTACCTTGTGACTGACTGACAGCTTGCTGCGTTTAAAAAAAAAAAAAAGTGTATACATGCTAACTAGGAGACAAGATGTTGTCGAGACATTTTCAAGGTCACAGCCACATGATTTCTAGTCCTCTAGTTTATGGGGGTGTTACAAGACATACAGATGACAGGATGCATCCTCACCTGACTGGTTCCTTTATGTCATGTGGATTCAGGAGGTTCAGCAGTATGCAGATGTTGGCTACATGGATAGAGAGCAGTTCAGGAAGATATTTGATGAACTGGATAAAGATCGCATTAAGGAGGTAAAGCTGTGTCCACAGGCTCTGCTGTTTACTCAACATTACCATTCACTTCTGTGTTATATCTCTGACTGTGTGTGTGTGTGTGTGTGTGTGTTCCTCCCAGCACCCTCCTTTGCCCGGGTACAACTCTCCAGTCCTGCAGAGACTCCAGAATGTCTTCAGTCACTACTATCTCACTATCCTCGGCAACGCGGTGGCTCTGGCCAATGTCATGTCCATATGTGTAAGTTACACACACACACACACACACACATACATACATACATACATACATACATACATACATACATACATACATACATACACACTGTATATTAGCAAAATTGGTTGAAATCTGACAAATGTTAACCCCTCTGGTTATGATGTCCAGAAAAAAACGAATTTCCCCTAAACACAATTTGAAGTGTATTAAAAATAGTCTGATTAGGTGAGTCAGCACAAGCAGCTCTTGTAACAAGCGCTACAAGGTCCATCACTGTGAGGACAGTGGTCTGGTTATGGGGGCTTGAAAGTCCTCATAGGTGAATTAAGCTACATTTATCCTGGATGGGTCCAACTGGCAAAGATTTTTTTATCTGAAGAACATATTTAAAGCAGAGCTTGATTTGAAGTTGGCAGCAGCACAGCAGGCCTTTATTTACAATATTATGAGCCAGTAGGGCAGGGGTGCCCAACCAGTCGAATCTCCCCGCGATCGACCGGTCGATCGCGGGGAGATTCCCGGTCGATCGCGAGATGTGTCTAAAAATAGAACAACAATATTCTGTTTTATCGTTAATGTCCTATAACATAATCTTCCTGTGCCAGAATAATGCACTTGAACGCATCAAAGCTTTGTGATTGGCCGGCGTGACCCCATGTGTCGGGGCGCGGCTGGTGGGCAGTGGGCAGTGCACTAGTTTGCTAACGTTGTCCGTGTCAACAGGAGTGACAGTCCGCACACACACAAGACCGCAATTATGGCAGAAGCAAAACATATATAATTTTCACTCCGAGTGGGAGGATGATTATTTTTGTATCTATTCCAATTCAAAGTCCATCTGTCTCATCTGCAATGCGAGCGTGGCTTTATCGAAGAAGGGTAATTTAGGAACAGCATTTCAAAACAGTGCACAAACGCTACGAGACGGAATTCCCTCCTAATTCTGCCCTACGCTCCAAAAGGGGAGGGGCCTGAGAGCACAGCTAAATGCACAGCAGTCCATTTTCACCAGGCCCAACAACAAGAGCAAGGCTGCTACCATAGCATCTTATCGTGTCAGTCACGTTCTTGCGAAACACATGAAGTCTTTCAAAGACGGCAAAGTTGTGACAGAAGCATTCCTGGAGGCTGCCGATGCGTAATAAAAATAACAGTAGCATTTCAACAGGTTTTTGATATGATAAAAACTCAAGTTAGATACCGTTATTAATCAGCTGTAAGTTTGAGTTTGTTTGAACTTATTCATTATAATTATTGTACAAAATGGTATAAGAATGCAAACTTAAATTGATTATAGTCTATTATCAATTCAGGTTAAGAAACTAGTATTGCTTGCATCCTATTTTAAAGGCATTTATTTTTATAATCTACTAAAATGCAACAAAAAAAGGGTTTGATTCTATTAATGTTGTCTTTTTTATTGCACTTTGGCAGCAGATTCCTGTGTAGCTTCAGATCTGAGTTGTCTTATTAGTAAGCCTCATTTATACTTGTGTAGCAACACTGTTTTTATATAATGGCAAAGAAAGGGTTCAGAGTATTTCCTTTTTCCCTGTGTCATATGTGGCAGCACTGTTCAATGTTTCTTGAAAACATTACCCACTGTAGTGTGACGTGTGAATAAACTCCAACTCTGTATCAACAACACTGTTGTGTAACTTCAGTTAAATACTTGTATGTGTGTAGATTAGAAAGAGGTAAGATAAAGGATCTGCAGTATTTTATGAAGTATTAATCGTACAAAGGTCAGTTTTAAAGTAGAAGTGTGTATTTACCTGGCAGTAGGCTGTCAGTAATGGCTACGCCTCTCTATTTGGACTGGTAGATCTCGGCAGACTGGCAACTTTAAAAGTAGCTCTCGGTTCAAAAAAGGTTGGGCACCCCTGCAGTAGGGCATACATGGATTTTGGTTGGTTAGCAAATTCAGTTTTATTTGATCTGAGTATCTGTAGGCAGGGGCGGACTGGCCATTGGGACGTTCGGGACGAATCCCGATGGGCCGGTACTGAAGTGGGCCGGTCGGACGATGTGGGCCGGCCGGTAACCGGCAGGGCTCGACATTAAATGGCCCGCTGGCCCGGAAGCACTATTTAGACACCCCGGGCCAGCATAACGTACTTTCCACTTGCCCGCTTGGACCACTAACAATATTGCTTAAAAAAAAATTGTCCTGTGGTATTGGTATTTTGACTAGCAATTTAGTTAAATTGTTTCGTTTATCAACGCTACAACATAGCATTCCGTGAGTCAGTTGTCGTTGTTGTTGGGTGAAAAGCAAACAGCTGTTTGCTGTTTGCTGCGGAGCTGCGAGTAGCATGCGCTGCAGCGTCGGAGACAGCAGTTACAGGACTGCACTTGTAGAACCGCACACACAGGTCGGACGGAGCACGTCACGGCGGCACGTGACGGAGCATGTTCACATGAACGCCTGAAGCCCCTCAATGCAGTGCGCAATCTAACCCTTCCCTTCCCCCCATCCTAACCCTAACCACTCCCTACCTTTTTACCTAATCCTAATCTTCCTTCCTCCCTCCTTCCCAAACCTCAATGTTTCAATGTTGATATGACGTAATTTACATTAAATACAGGGTTTTAATTTAAAGCAGTTTTATTCTGAAAAACCCGGAAGTTCACACTAACTATTAACTTAACACTTTTATTCTGAAGATTCTTCATTTCCGGTTAGCATTAGCATGTGGCTAACGTTTTGAAAACCGTGAATTGAAGGTGAAATGACATGTGATGTTGTACACTAAACACACTGGGATTAACACTCATTTATTGACGCTGGAATAACATTTTATCAGAATTATTTATATATATATTAATAATATAAGATATAATATGTTACTTTATATATACAGTCTATGGTAAGTACACAACACAATACGCAAAACAACTAGGGTCGTGGGAGTGCGGTCCTGAGAGTGCAGCCTCCGACGCTGCAGCTTCATACTATTGGCGCGAGCAGGCTCCCGTGAGCGGGAGCGCGCTCCTTCACTACAGACTATCGCGCCACCTAACCATTCGCCAAAATGTTTTTAATACCAGCGGTAACCGGCCAAGCGCCGCGCAAAAAACTATCTTCAAATAAAAGAAAGTCACCGGAGGAGTTAAAGGAGAGTGACAGGGAGCATGAGAAGAAGAGGGAGAGAAAGTTTCAGCCAGCTTGATCGATGGAGTTGGCTTCTAGTGGTGCAGTGCCGCATCCTAAAACCCTTTTATAATCTATCGATTAGATTTATGATTAGAAAATTATAAAAGTAGGGTAGACATGTGGAGATTATCCGGCAGAACAAAACGTGCATTTATTAAACAGGTTTGTTTTCCACAGACCTTATTTCCAGCTATTTTCCAAAACCCTGTGGAGAAATCCCATTGCTTTTTGTCGAGGGAACCAGCAGCTTACTTCCTGGTTTTAGGATGCGTCACTGCACCTCTCAATATGATGCCAATATAAACAAGGTCTTCTGTCGGCTCTGTACATCAATGCCGACCTATGCTGACAAGTAAGTGAAGAGTAGACAATATAAAGGTATTGGCGAAATGTCCCAGCAGTTTAGGATAATGAAGGTTCTAATCAAATCAATTACATAGCCATTACATGTCTAACTCCTAATGACAGGAAGGCAGAAAGTGCATTATACAAATAATAATAATAATAATAGCAGACATTTTTTAACAATGACCACAATATCATTATTTTAATAAACCAAATATGAACAATTGAGGAAAATGAGGAAGAACTGATGATTAAAATGTTGTAGTACAAGTAGTAATGTAGTTAGTGCATAAATTACTATTGCAACAAATGTGTTAATTTTCTTCATTATTAGTCGATTTGTTTTTGGACGAATGCTCCGGGCCAGTGGTTACAATGGTGGTGCCAGTGATAATACAAGTCAATTTTACCCTTAATGTCTACTTCTGCGGTAAGTCACTAGCACACCCCTCCCCGTCGACAATTTACTAGCGGTATTTACTTGCGGCACCGCGGTGGGCCGGTCGAGAGTCCCGGGCTGATTTGTAGTCCCAGTCCGCCCCTGTCTGTAGGGCTAACACTGAGGAAGACAGCCTTATGTCGTAGGTGTGCGTAATATATATATATATATATATATATATATATATATATATATATATATATATATATATATATATATATATATATATATATATATATATATATATATTTGTATACGTATGTTTTCTTTGAAATAACTCTACTTTTCAGTGCAGCATACATCTTCATATCTTAATGATGACATTCTTTATGTAGCCTTCCTATCAAATGTTTTCAAGCTTCTTTGACTGCAATTCCTCTCGCTTGTCTGAGACATTGAAATCTTCCCAGACACATTAACCACCACCAATTTTTAAATGTTTTGTTCTCACACCATATCATCGTCTGCCATATGGCAATATTATATTTGTACATTTTGTGTGTTTCAGACCATCCTGGTTCTGAACTCTGATAAGTCTACAGCAGAGAGAGACAACTACATCATGGAGGTGAGCACTGGCTAATGTTATTATAATGTCTTAAGGAGATCTATGGATACATCTCTCAACACTCATATGAAACAGAACTGTAAACAGATTTATTTTTCTTTATGGATATTTTACAAATCACTCCCCTTTCAAACTGTAACAACCATTTTTTACTGTCATAGTATTTTATACCCGTTTACTTTATTCTTTTATTTTTGTATAACTATAATGATCATATAAAGATGTGCCTTTACCTCACTGGTTGTAGAAAAAGCTTCTTATATTCGTTAGCATAGCTAGCTAACCAGATGCTAATAACAACAAAGTTATTGACTGTATGATCAGTTTGACAGATGAACAGATCGCCACTGGGCTTAAAACAAAAGACACAGCCACGCAGAAACTGCTGCATATATCCGGCTCCTTATGGGTACTGCAATGTCTGATGTGCCGGAGCCGCGTTCTGGTGCTCTCCGTCAGAACTGCACCCCTGTCAGACGAGACATAATACCACGTGATGACACGTTAGGCTCTGTTGTGTTCAAGGACCCTGACCTTGGCCAGGAAAAACAGGCCCCTCCCCACCCCTGATATACACCCTAACTAACACTTTTATCCATCTCAGAGTATCTCATAGACAAATTTAAGTCTTTAAAATCCTATATGTAAATCCTCAGTATCTCATCTGTTTCATTTGATGTTTTGGGGGCCCTGCTGCCTGCTAAAATTGTGAACATAACCTGCTTCATTAATGGACTAAATCCCTTTTCCTCTGTCAAACTGCCAGATCATCAACATGTGCTTCATCCTGTATTACCTGTTTGAAATGTGCATGAAAATCTTTGCCTTCGGATGGAAAGGGTACCTCTCCTACAGGAACAACATCTTTGACGGCTTCCTCACCATCCTGCTCCTGGTAACCCTGCTCTCCCCCTCTCTCTTATTATCGTCACGTTAAATATAACACATGTGAAGCTGGTTTCATTTCTTAAGGATAACAGAAGCATATTCACAAGGATTTCATTTGTTTTCACATGTGAGCAGCTTGTCATATTTTGTACAGTGTCCCATGGTATTCTATCTTTGTTGATAGGACCAAAATACAAAAGTTTAAATGCAGTTTGACCATCCTCCAGCAGTATTTAGTAAGCGTAGCACAGTCATTCATGACAACCTGTGTCAATCCAGATTGTTAAAGGAGTATTTCCTCATTTTCCGGTGAAACTCACTGGGAAAAGAAATCAGTTATTGCAGGTTAAATAAATTGTTTATGTGTTTTTGTCTCCATCAGCTCCTACAAATCACTATATATATCACCTACAGGCTTCCTTATTCTCAATGGTAGGTTTGTATTTTCATCAAATCAGTTTAGAGTAAATGTTTATGGAAATTCAGTTTGGTCCTCTCAGGTATTCATTCTTTTGATAATCGACAATGATGAATAAAACGGTTAAGTGGTATGGAAAAAATCTAAAAGAATGTTTCAAATAACTGTGTGTGTGTGTGTGTGTGTGTGTGTGTGTGTGTGTGTGTGTGTGTGTGTGTGTGTGTGTGTGTGTGTGTGTGTGTGTGTGTGTGTGTGTGTGTGTGTGTGTGTGTGTGTGTGTGTGTGTGTGTGTGTGTGTGTGTGTGTGTGTGTGTGTGTGTGTGTGTGTGTGTGTGTGTGTGTGTGTGTGTGTGTGTGTGTGTGTGTGTGTGTGTACAGGGATCCATCCTCTCATGGTGTGATGTCTCTGTGGGAGATGGTGCGTCTGATCAACATGCTGATTGTGGTCCGCTTCCTGCGCATCATCCCAGACATCAAGGTGAGGCAAACAAAGATACACTACAAATAAATGTCCTGTGTTCATGTCCGTTATATCTCTCATATGTTCCTTCTTGTTGAACAGCTCATGGCTTTGGTTGCGAGTACACTGTTGGACCTGCTGAAGAACTTCAGAGCCTTTGCAGGGATACTAATGGTGAGTCAGCATACTGCTATAAAATATATGAAGATCCAAATTTAGAAACGATTAATATTTCTGAAATAAAACATAAAAGCCTCTTCCCATCATATGAGTGTTGTGTGAAAATCAAAATGTTTCTGTTTTGGTGGAAAAACCATGCGTTTTAATAGGCTAAATAATGACATGTGATAATCGACTGGCTCTATTTAAAAAGTTGTATTAAAAAAACATATTGTTTGGTCTTCCTGTAAGCACACTTATGGAGATACAGGGTTTCAGCTGACACGGGTCTTCTTCATGCTCTCTGTGCAGGTGGTGTTCTATGTGTTTGCTGTGATTGGGATCTGGCTGTTTGAAGGAGCCATCAAACCTCCTCCAAGTATGAGGTATGTAGCCATGACATGAAGCTCTTTCTACATCTCTGTTGACAATTCAAAAATAAATTCTACATTTAATCCTTCAAACTGTCAATAAGAAACTCATTCGGAGTTTTCATCCAGCAAATTATAATCCAAATGATTTTGCTAGCCATATTTATTTGTTATAAATACTTAGTCTTTTTTAGATGTTAAATGATATGTGTTATAATTCCTTAAAGGGATGCACTAAGGTTGTACTGATTACTGATGCAGTCTGTCGAGGGCAAAAATTAAGTGCAAGCTAAAAATGAGAAGTTGCTACTAGCTGAATGATTCATACATTGCCCTTTGCTAATAGTAAGAATAGATTATAGTAATACAACAATTAAAGGTCCCTAGTATGCTCATTTTCAGGTTCATATTTGTATCTAGTGTCTCTACTGTTTCACGTCTCCATGCTTTAATGTTCAAAAAGCTCTTTATTGTTCTCATACTGCCTGTGCTGCAGCACCTCTTTTCACCCTCTGTCTGAAACCAGAGCCCAGTCTGCTCTGATTGGTTAGCTGGCCGGCTCTGTTGTGATTGGTCAACCTCTTAGAGATGTCCCGCCCTTTAGCTAACACGTACAATGTGTTGGAGCGCAAGTGTTACATAGTGATGTCATTATTTAACACTTGAACAATGTAAGATGTGTTACTCTGTAGAAAATGAAATAAGCGGCAAGCCTCCTGTTTTGTGCGGTAAAACAACAATGCAGGAAGTGTGCCCTTCCCTCACAGATAGTATCCTGTGTGTTGAACACTCGCTCTGTTGTTGGTTGCAGTGGGCTCTCTAACTCCTCCATGGAGAACATCTCCAACTTCAGCATGGAGTGTGGCACCTATGAGCAGCTGGGCTACTGGCCCAATAACTTTGATGACTTTGGTGTGAGTAACAACAACAGTTAGACTTTTATTGTCCTATTTAGTTCCAGTAACTTCTGTGTGTTAAAGTATTATTAACCCCTTTTCCTTTGATGATGATCAGTTACCATTGTCAATGATGGTGTACAGCTACTTTTATGAACCTGGTTTACAGTTGCACACTGTTACTTGGATATACCCAAAAGAAAAGTGATAAAAGAGAATCATTTCCTTCCTGTCTCTCAGGCGTCCATCGTGTTGCTCTATGATGTCATGATAGTCAACAACTGGCAGGCCTTCATGGATGCATACAGCAGATACACCACTGAGTAAGAAACCCACATTTCACATGCACAACAGTTGCTGGTGTTGATCCTGATGATCACGTTTTGTTTTTCCCAGGTGGTCAAAGATCTACTTTGTGTCTTGGTGGCTCACCTCCTCTGTCATGTGGGTCAACCTGTTTGTGGCGCTCATCTTAGAGGTCAGTTCCCTCAGACATCACAAACACTCATTCATTACATTTAGCTAACAGTTGAACCAAAGCACTTCCTGGTACATCAACTTTCAAGAAGCCAGCAATTGGTACTGTATTGGCTTAAAATGTGCGTGGTTGTCACACAACAACGTACACACACATTAAACATTCTAACAGCACAAATACTCTGTTCCTTGTTTTCTGACAGAACTTCATCTATAAATGGGACCGCAGTCACAGCTGCTCTGTTACAGATGTGGAGAGGATCAGATATGAAACATCTGTTCAACTCATGTTCAGGTAGGTTCACTACTGTTTTGTAATTCATATACCGGTAATTATAAATCTATCTGTCAAACCACAGCTAACTTTTTGTCCAATCCTTCTTCTGTTGTCCATGACTTACCCCTGTTTCTCTGCAGAGAGCAGATCAAGGAGCCCACTGAAGAGGAGTTACTATGCCAACTACACCAACACCCTCACCTACACCTGCACTGGTGACACACATTGTGTGCCAATTCCATAGTATTCAATAATAAATACTATAAAGTATTTTCCCAGGGCTTAATAATACAGCATTGTCCCCCCCCCCCTTCACTACCATTGGGGTTTCCAGGTCAGTCTTCTTAATGTAAACCACTCAGATTCAGGAGGTTTTTAGCTTTCAAATGTGGCGTCTTGCATTGTATTTGCCCAACCATAAAGAGCCAAGTATATTGTCTTACTTCACAATGGTTGAAAAATGTATGCATGTACTGCTGCTTAACATGGGAATAACATGTATGATGCTTGCTTATCTTTCATTTAAAGGTGGGGTAGGTAAGTTTGAGAAACCGGCTCGAGATACACTTTTTGTTATATTTTTGTTATATTCCATCCCGATAGCAATAAATATCTGAAGTGCTTTGACAAAAAATCCATAACAAAAATTAATCTGTGGAAGCCGTAGTGCTATAAAAAGCATGACCAATCATCTGAGCCGGCCCGGCTAAAATAACCTGCCTGTCAGCCTTCCATCTGTGCACAACCTTATCTCGTGCCCTCATTGGTCATGTGCGCGTTCGTGTGTGTTGGAGGAGGGGCTCTGGAAGGAAGTGGCAGATTTTTTCCGGTTGTGTATTTCAAATTCCAGCGCACTCGAGCTGGTTTCTCCAAAATTACCTACCCCACCTTTAAGCAGTTGTTCCAGCATTAAAATATAAATATAACATGGGAACTCAGGTGTTAGGTGTATTCACCAGCTTTTGAAAAATCAGATCTCGTTGCTTTTGACAAAACCAAAAACATGTGTCCATTATGTTCTGCCGTGTAGAGCATGTCTAAGTTATCTCTTTGTACTTGTGAGGGATCATTCTTGAAGGGTTATTGTGGTTTCTTCTCTGTAGTGCAGTAAGTAAGAAAATAATGACGCCAGAACATTTATTGAGAGACGTGCATGTGTATTCTGGGTAAGGATGGAGGCTGCTTGTCTACTTCTAAATACTTTGCAGAGGGGTATTTTATGTAACGTATTTAGATGTGTTTTAAACTGGAATGCTGGATTTTTGTGTTCTAGAGAGGACACAGTTCTAGCAAGAAAACAACAGGGATTTCCTTTTTTTTATTGAAAGCGATTTGTATAGAGAAGTTGGAATGCCATTTTATTATATTTGTATTAAGTTGAGATACAGTTTGTAGGCTACAATACAACTCTTTATACAAGATTGACAAATAGATTTTAAATAAATATTTTGAAGACTTCATTTAGTATGTTATGGTTTTTTCGCACATTACTTTGGGGCATCACCTTTCTTTCAGTTTAAAATGAGTCTGTTTTACTAGTAGCCTATTACTGCATTATAAACACACAAACACATACTCCCAATGTACCAAAATTAAATTCAAAGAAGGTGCTGCTGAACTGGTTAGTTTTATTTCAGTAGAAATGTCCAAAAGAGCAATACTTTCAAAATAAATATGCATCACAATTTTAGTTTTCAGCTTTCACGCTGAGGCTACTACAGTGGACAGCTTTTCAAAAGGTGTTTTCTTGTAAATGCATGGGTTTTGATGGCATAGTTGCACCATCAGCCACTACATAGGACCCTATTGCATCATCCCATACACTGCCACTCAGTGGAAAGTCAGTGCAAGTGCATGATACATGTCTAAAGTCTAAACCAAGATGGACGACAGAAAGCCACATGGACCGAACCGAATCACTCCATCCATGAATCACTCGCATGGATGTATGATAAAAATCACTCGTCGATATCTTGCCAATCCTTTTATGGAAAGCGCCCCCTGCAGGTATAACAATGTTGGTGACATCAAGTAACAACTAAGGAATCATTTAATTTAAAATGTTATTATAATGTAATTTTAAGTTTGCACATCTTTGTTTATAATTTTTGTCTTCAGTTCAAACTTTAACCCATACTGTCCACCTGAGCGGACATATAAAACATTTTTTTTTCTAAATTTGAAAAAACTAGATAAAAAGAAACTAAAGTTCAAATCTTGTTTTTCATGCCCCAAGAGCAATAAAAACACTTGGTAAAAAAATCCCTGACTGAGGTTTTCATAATTCATGCATGAAAGGGTTAATTTATTCACAGCACAGTGTTGTATGTGCACTTTATATAGACATATGCTATAAAGGCCACGATGATTTATTTCAGACATTGTTGTGACTAAATATGAGATTACACAGCCAAGAAATGTAAATCATCTTTCACAGCAAGGGTGTTTAAACAGTAGCTCAGGCTTCCCCCGTGGAGCGGATCAGGGGGACATGAGGAAAGATATGTCTATCAGATATGTAACAAATGGAGGTTGAAAGGTTTTATGGAACGTGAAGATAAATCTGTAGCTCAATGAATTTTACGGTAAATTGAGCAAAAGATGATCTAAAGGCTGGATTAGAAAGGTAATGTAATGCGTTGTTCTGACTGTAGAGGGCAACATTCCCCCACAGCGGTCAGTCTGCCGCAAACTGCAGAAGAAGAAGAAACCCGAAAGTGAGCTCGTGTTGTAAACAAAACACATGTGAAGAGTTGTTCTGCTGTCAGAAAGAGCCGGCGTTTACATTTGGAATTGATACGGTATTCTTCAGGAAGTCCGCGAAAACGAGGGAATGGAAGGTGAGTTTAAGCAGTCGAAGGGCGATGAACATGACCCGTAAACACAACATTCTTCAAATTGGTTTAAAACCCACCATGTGTCCCTTCTGTTTATTTCATCCTAATGTCAGTGTGTGTGTAGGGATGCTAAATACCCATTGGGAGAAGTATTCAACCAAAAATAAAAGTAGCAATACAGTGTAGATATTGTTACAAATAAAAAGGATGTACTAAAAGTAGAACTACAATACACGTAACATTCTTTCAGAAGGCACCTCGTGCTGCTATTGTTGATACTAGCTCAAATACATATCTCTCTGGCTCATGTCACTGAACAGTCTTAATGAATGCTGTTATTTCCGCCTGTGCTGTTGCTGCTTTGAGCAATCAAAATGCCTCTCGTGAGAAAGGGCTAATGTGTCATCCGTCACTTCATATAATGATGCAAACCAGGGGCGTTTCCTGGACCTGGAAACATTCGGGGCTTAGCCCACAGTGGCAGCGCCAGAGATTTTCTTTTGGGGGTACGGTGGGATAGCTTGACGTTTCATAGAGGTTGCTCAAACATGTAGGGTTTCCCATTAAGGTACCGGTCGCTACAATGGAATTTTCTACTGCAACAATCCCCACGCGCACATACACAGTACACCCGCTACTGTTAAAATGAAGGCTCGATAATCAGGGCTCGTGTAAGCAGGGCCCTGGCCAACATGAGGCCCCACGCAACGTTATATGATGAGGCCCTCTGTTTCGCGAGCGTCGACGGGGGGAGTGGGCGGTTGCTAGTAGCCTCGCAGCGGCGAAACCGTGCCGCGCCACATAGGTGCGCCGCATTTTCGGCTCAGTTGAGGCTCCCTCCGCAAGGTGAGGCCCCATGCAGTCTGCGTGATCGGCCTGTAAGGAGGGACGGCCCTGGGTGTAAGGCCACTACACACCAACCTGAGATCAAAGAACGCGTACCGAATGCGTCCCGACTTTTACGTCGTCTACGCCACCCGCCTGCGACGAGTGGCAATAACTGTCCTTACCAGCAGGCAGCGGTAGTGTGTATTCATCATTCAAAAGAGGCAATAGCCAATCAGAGTGATTTCTTTGGCCGATTCATGTTGAATCGGCCGCGGGAGGTGTGAAAATGTGCCGTAAAGCAACGATGGTGCGGGACACACCAACCTGAGTAGGGCGCCGCGAATGCCCGACGGCCTCTGAGTCCCAAAATTGGGTAGGTGTGTCAGGGCCTTAAGCAGGGGTGAAGTGCTATTTTTATAAGTGGGGAGTGGACCTAACATCCTCTAGGGGGGTCCAATAAGGAAAACCAATAAAGTAAATATGAACAGGTGGTAAAATAAACAAACTACGATAAGAAAGAATATACATTGATTGATTTGGGTATAAGGGAATTTGGTAAACTTCAATTGCATTGCTGATATAATAAAACCTTTACTTTTCTGATTTCACAAGTGTTTCCAAAGTTACGATTGATATCAGGGATCAATCAGAATGAGACTGAAAATAGGCGGAACCAAACAGTATTGAGATTAGACACCAGTGTCTGGCTGATGAGCAGTGGAGGCTCCAGAGTATTTTTGTTGGGTAATCTATATTAGATTATTTCCCTGTCTCAATCCAAATTGAACTGTATGAAATAAAAAGGCACATTTATCTTGTAGTAAATAAAAAGGGCGACCTGGAGCCAATCCTGCAATTTCCCCACAGGTGAAAGAGTTGACATGCTGAAAACCCAACCCCTGCAGGGGGGTCTGGGGAGATTTTTTGAAATACTAACATAAAATACACATTCTGGTACTCTCTTGAGAAGAAAACTAAATACATCTATTACTATACGACATATTTAAAAAAATGAATGCCATTTTAGTTTTGTGTTACTTTGATCTGAAAGCTGAACCTGCTGCTCCTCACAGAGAGAAGAGGCTGTGAATTACTTTACATTGTAAAGTTCTGTGTGTCAAAATGAAAGACAGCCCACACACCTATCAATCATCAAACCGTGGGGTCTTATTTCATTACGTGTTGATTTCTATCAACACGTAATGTTTTATCGATGTATAGAGATGTACTACAGCAAAAGTATTCTCTGTCCGGACTTCCTGCAACAACACCATGCCGTTATCGTGTTTCTGATTGGCCAGAAGACATTATCAAAGATGTTCTAATGAGAAGACGATAACTACGTGACAAAAGTTTTCAAAACCGTTTCTAGTCTTCGGTATTTCCAGACAAGTGGCTACTGAAATCAATCTTACTAACTGCTGTCTGTTAGTGATGGGAATTATGGCTCTTTGAAGGGAGCCGGATCTTATGGCTCCGTTCCTTTCAAAGAGCTGTTCAAAAGAGCCGTTTTTTTTTAAAGGGGGCGGGGTTACTAGGTTTATCTGCGAAATGGTCACCAGGATGATGATCTGCATAGAGTGGCGAAGTCACGCCCATCTACTTCTGCCCCATGGGACCTTATTTCTGAAAAATTATGTATTGAAGTCAATGGAAAGAGAAAACTTATCTTTCGATCCCGTTTGAATTGTGCCATGAATTACACATATGATGTTTTGTCAATCTTAAAAAATCATTTCCATGTCAAAAAAGTCACAGTTTGTCTTAAAACTGTTGAAATATAAGACTATGAAAAATACGCAACTAGAAAGACTACAAATCCCAGAGTCACGTACATTAACGTTACACATTACACTCGTGTTACTCACCAAAACCTTGTAAAGCCGGTCCCGCATGCTGGCTCTTACGTAACCGACTAACTCCCCTTTTGTGTAATGTACAGTTCTCAACATGGCCAGACTTTTAGTGATTTTCACCTATTTTAATACTTTTCACTTCATTCTGAAAGAAAGAGGTGAAGTGTGCTAACGTGACGGCCATCTTGGTGTTGGTGACGTATGCAAGACCAGAGTTGTAGTTCATTGAGCGCTTCACACAAAAAAATGTGTTACTTCACAGTTTTACGACCCATTTTTATTTTTTTGACTTGCAAAATTATCTTTTAAATTGACAAACATCATATGTGTGATTCGTGGCACAATTCAAATGGGATCAAAAGATAATCTTTCTCTCTCCATTGACTTCAATACATACGTTTTTCGAAATAAGGTCCCATGGAGGTCCCCCAGAAGGGGAGGGGCTTCGCCACTCTATTGTAAACATGACACAAGGTGGCGCCATATCCATGTCATTCATGTCAATGAATTTACTACTTTGAATTTACCCTCTGTATGTGTTAAGTAAATAAAGTTGCCTTGCCTTGAATGAAATTCATGCAACTCTTAATATTAGATAGATACTGTGTTTTTAAGTGGCGATGGAGATTATTTGTTGACCCTGCTTTAAAGGATATGTTGCCTTTACAAATGGTGCGCTTTATCACTGCCTGGGTTTTGGTTGCAGTGCATCCAAATGCTGCTGCGTTTTCGCGTTTGGCTCATTTTCCATCCGAAAAACACGTCATCTGGTCTGTCCTGTACCACTTGGGCCCAATCCCAAACGCCCCCTACACCCTATCCCTACACACTACCCCTCCGTTTGCGCGTTCACGCGGAGGGTCCGCCATATTGAGGGTTGTTCCAAAGCAACGAGTGTGGAGCGGTGTGGAGGGGGAGTGGGCTATCAAGCCCTCAAACAGCGAGTCTGCAGCGGTGCTGACTTGAGACCGGTCTCTACGCTGTGTGTGTCCGTCAGGAAACAAGCTGTTAACAAGTAGTTCCAGCAAACATCCACTGATAAACTGCGATGTTAACAACCTCATGATAACCTCATATGTTTTTAACTTAGGATCATACCTGTGTTTAGTCTAGAAAAAGGTAAATGTGTGCATTTTATTATAAAGTTGTGTATATTTACAGACTGTTGCAAAAACTAAGAAGCTTATAAACATCAGGTGTAAAACTAAAAGAGCTTTGAAACACAATGAAAGATGTTTGGAGTTTTATTTGAGTTATTAATTTATATTTTTTGTCAAACAGATGCTGATTTGAAACCTTTGTTACATACAGTTATGGCATTTCCTGTTTCTGCCGGAGAGAGGGGAGGCCGTCCCAAAGCTTGCTGCTGTATTTATCCCCTTAACCCTTAATGAAGGGAGCCTCATTCAGCTGTGAGTGTGGCTACAGACGGAGTTCACTCCGTCACGGAGGGGTAGGGTCGATGGGGTGATTTGGGATTGGGCCTTGTTATGACTTCTCTCTCGCGTATTCCGTTAAGACCCACCCCATCTCACTCTTCGTGCTGAAACCTACCAATCAGAGTAGGGGCGGGGCTTCACAGAATACGTTTGGGGAACAAAATCAAGCTTTTTAAAAGGCGAGTGGATTTTGGCAGGCAGTGAGTGCAGACCAATGATTGAACGATAAAAAGAACGGCTCTCACCAAGTAGGACTCGGTTCCTCTCGTTCGTACCAAAGAGCCGTTCAAAAGAATCTGCTCGTTCGCGACCGACACATCACTACTGTCTGTGCAATTTACTCCGCGAGTTGGCTGACTTTATTTGGCTTACTTTAACATCATTTTTCATGGTGGGGCTAAGCCATTTCTTGGTATGGCTGTAGCCTACCCCAGCCATACCCTGGCGCCGCCACTGCTGATGAGCTTTCAGCATTGGAAAACAGAACTGCCTCTGTACTTTCTGCAGCAGCCAGTCGAACAGGTCTGTCTCTGCGCCCACTGTCACTCTCCTACATAGCTTTTCTTTTCTATCTTAACTCAGGGTCCCAGGAGCAACGACGCTGTCAGTCAGAGGACTTGAAATATGCAACTGTAACTCTCTTATCAGGGCTCGACATTAAGGGCTGCCCGATGGCCCGGGGCCATCTAGTATTTAGCTCGGGCAATGAAGCCTCACCTGCTGGTTGCCCGATCGGGCAATCTATTATGCCAGTATCATGCAGCTCGGGGATCAATAATGAGTGACCCGACAGTAAAACTAAACATATATATAACTAGTGTAGGTAGTTTGAGAGGTAATTAAAATAGCTACGTGTGATATTCTAACCTTAAGTGTGTGTTTTGTCCGCTCACCGCTGCAGGTGATCATGCAGAGCTGCGTGTCGACTCGTCAGCAGCAGCTGATCTCTCTTTCCCGTCAGATTAGACTTCACTCGCGTTTATGTCCATATCGATCAGATCCAGCTAGTTCTAGCTAATGATATGACTACCTGCTTATTAAGAGACACCTAAACAATAAGTGTCGCTATGCAACTGGGTGAGGCCACAAAGTATAGCGCAGCATTATGCATTTGTTTACATGCCCACCGGAACCAGAGGCATTACCAACAGATCAACGCACAATCAACCCATACAGGACATCTCTTTCTCCACATTAAGTGTTAGACATTAGAATTGACTATTCTTGTCTGTCACATACTCTTCTTGTCTGTCACATAAGTGGCGCAACTGAAGCGGTATTGCGCTAAAGGGAAATTATTTTGACCGGACATTTTGACCGAAGAGATTTAGATTTGCCGGCTAACGGGAACTCTGACGTCGCCATTTTGTGTGCTTCACGGATGCGCTCTGCTCCTCTCGACTGCTGCTCGGGTCTGCTCGGTCAGCTTCCGGATGAGGAGGCATTCGTTCGACCAACTAACTAGTGTTGTCACGATACCAACATTTTGGTTTCGATACCGATACCAAGTCAAGAATTGCGATTCCGATTATTTTTCAATACTTTTCTTAAAAAAAGGAAAACAGTCTTAAATGTAATTATTGTGCTTTATTTCACACCAGAACCATAACACAAACTTTTAAACAATGAGAACAATAAACAAAATAAATGACAATAATTCGTATTAAATCAAATTTAAGCATCATCTCAAACAACTTTTTTGTTTTATAAAATATAATTTGTTTTATATTTTATTAACATGTAATATAAATAATTATTGACAAAATGTATATTGCAGATGTTAGCCACATTGGTAAGTTAGCTAAAAATATAGCCATATTAGACAGTTATCATTGCCATTAATTGCCTCGTTTGTCACAAAATAAATTACACTGGTTTGACTTAGATTTGAGGGCATGGGCATGTTACACATTCGCTAACCTGTCTGTCTTTAAATTCTTTAAACAGCTCTGGATTCCGGTCGGCAGGTGCTTAGCCAAGTTTGATGTGTTGGCTCCCTTGGTTTGCACGGATCTAAAACATGTCTCACAGACGGGCCTCGTGGTGTCCGTAGGCTTGCCCTCACTGTCAGAGATATAGCTCAAATACTTCCAAATGTAGCTTCTGGCGTCTTTTTTGTCAACAAGCCGAGGCGCAGCGGCAGTTGCACTCCCACTTGCAGCCATGCTTCTAGTTTTCTCACATGCTCTGGCAGCTAGCGCGTGGCCGCGTGCACGAGAGAGGGGAGGGACTTAGAGCGTGCTTGAGAGGGAGGGACTGCAGGCACGGCTGCAGTGCAGGGAGTGAAAGCAGAGCGCTGAACACACACGGCTCTTATTAAAACGGCGCTTTCTCACCGGAGTACTTTTCCCCATCATTCTTAAAGTACCGATACTAATGAAACGGAGGAATCGTACCGTTTTTAATGGCAGGGTATCGCGGTACCTTTCAAGTATCGGTACACCGTGCAACACTACAACTAACAGTAGATAACATTACAAACATTTTTAACAGGGGCCATAATAGTGTAAATAATGTTTGTTTTGGCAGTTATAACTGAATGTAATGTTTTCTACTCTTTTACATCTGGGAAGGCATTTGCCTTCATCAGATGGAAAGTGTCTTGACCAACAACTTAAGTATTTCTTATAGCTATGCAGGGCATGCAAGCGAGCAAACACAAACAAGAACAAACAAACAAGTGAAATTAAGAATAACATTGAAATTGAACAATATAATATTGTGGTGGTTCATCTTATAATTCAGTCTAGAGCAGTGCTTCTCAAAGTGTGGTCCGCGGACCACTGGTAGTCCGTGAGCGCCCCCTAGTGGTCCGTGAGTATATTGGTCAAATTTCACATTTGAAATACATTAATTTAAGTTTTTCACACTCTCGCGGGAATATCTCCGTAATGGAACGAGCTTAAGTTTCACTTTCGATTGCATGATATAGCCCAGCGCAACACCTTTATCACACATGTTGCCACTTGTTTGTACCATTTGCATGCGATTTGTAATCTGTTCTAGATAAACGATGTGTCTTTGGATATTTTTGGAGTTAGGTGGTCCGCGAGTGTTTTTTTATTGGTTAAGTGGTCCTTGGTATGAACAAAACACTGGTCTAGAGAATGCACCAGACAGCATCTAAGACCTGCAAAAATCTAAATGTTCTAGGGGGAGGCCCCCCAAACCCTTCGTGCGTCATTTAGTCCGCGAGCATTTTTCAGGGCAATCTTTATTGGGCTCAGGGCCATCTGTAAATTAGCTTAGATGGCAAAATCCACTGCTTATGTAAAGTTATCTCAACCAATCTGACATCCTCATTCTTCAGTGTGAAACTCCCAGGCTTTATCATGGCTCAAGGTTCTCTGGAAAACTTCATATGTTATATATAGCTTTCCTGTCCAGAAGAATCCTATGATTGGGTATTTGGATTGTAAATTACAACCAGATATGTAATGTGAATAGACAAAATAGAATAACCCCACAACAACCTACAGATGGATTTGAGTTAATGTATGACTTTGTATAGGGAAGCAGTAGGAATAGAAGCTCCTTGAGGCTAGCTGCTGGGGTTCACATCGGCCCAGCAACCCCTCCTGTGTTCTGGTCCAGAAGCTCAGGGAGTCCATCAGGTTTGGTGTAACACTAGATGTGTTTGTTCTGTTCAACAGAAGCTCTTGTTCGAGCCACCATCCCTCATGATCTGGAGAAGCTTCTTGGTGTGGAGGTAAGCAGAGACCTACTGAGGACACGATGTGCTGCACAGTGATCCCTTTCCAGTCAGGCTGTGCACAGTCTTCCTGCAGATAATAACGGGACATGAGAAATCATTTGTCTATGAATCAACATGCGCAGATATTTTGAAAATCACTTGTTGGAAATGTTCTATAAAAACATGTTGGTTCACCCTTATCAATAAAGGAGGATTTGATGCCATCTATACAATAATATAGACAAGACATTTGAATATTATTACATGCATCTTTTTTTCTGGAATTTGTATGTGTCTGTATACAATCCTGTTGTCTCAAAATATATATATTTATATATACATATATCTTATTATCTACATTCATGTTTAAAATATTGTTTTGCATCTGTTTTTGATTCGTAGGTACTTTTGTTATTTTAACTAGGAAAATGCACAGCAATGCGACACAACAGATTCAGAAAGAAACTAGAGTTTACTCCTAAAATGTTGATATATTTTGACACTCATATTTTGAGATTTATTGCTGAAAATGATTAGTGGAAAAATAAAGGAATGTCATCTTATCTATTTATTGTTCACTCTTAGTTATTCCCTAGTATTATGATGTCATAAATATCATCTGACACGCTCACTTTCTTTTACACATTTGAACATGCTATACAAGCCTGGACTTTTTGTTCTGTTTTAATAATAATTCCAGCTCTCTGTAAATATCTCTGTCCCATTTCCAGTCTCGACCCCACCCTAAAGCCTTCACCGATGCCTTCCTGAAGAACAGCCTCCCGCAGACCACGCGCTGCGATGTGAACAACCTGCTGACCCACAAGGCTCTGATCCTGGGCTACAGCAGGCCCAAGAAGGACAAGAGGAAGAGCAAGAAACCCAAGGGACTGAACGCCCGGCAGAAGAGGGCCATGAAGGTCTTCCAGCTCAAACCTGAGCACCAGAGGTGGGGGAGGAAAGTGGAGGAGGGGACGGGTATTGGGAGGAAATGTGTTTGGAACATTAACACATCATTGTTCTTGAATGTGATAGATTTCCCATTAAGTTTGATTCTTCCCAGTATCACTGCTGTGGCGTTTAAAGGTCCCATGTCATGGCCATTTCTACTGATCATAATTCCATTGTTGAGGTCTACTAAAATAGATTTATATTGTTCAATGTTCCAAACTCACATTGGTTTCTCATACAGCATCTCTGTATAGCATGTGTATTCACTATCTGTCCTACACGCCTTGTTGGAGCTCCTGCCCCCCCCCCCTCCCTATGAGCCCACTGTGCTCTGATTGGTCAGCTTGCCCACTCTGTTCTGATGAGTCCACCACCGTTACAGCGGAACATCAGTGATTATGTGTTACCATGGCGTTTGTTAGCAACCAGAAAATGACACCAGTAATGACAAACAGATGAGAATGCTGCGTGGGGTCTGAGTGCCGAGTTGGCGGGACGTTGCGGGGATCGCTGGTCCGCCCTTTGGGGCTCGAGGAGCGGAGAGTGTGAGCTGGGTTACTGGTGTCGTTTCCTGGTTGCTGCGTGGGGTCTGCGGGACAGCGAGACACCGCGGAACCCAGCCTGAGCACACAGGCGGAGATCCGCGGAGCCGCGACTGAAAAAAGATAAGGCTGAGTAAGTGTGTGTGTGTGAGGAGCTCCGCGGACTGGTCCATTTGGACCTGGGCATGGTCACGTCACGATACTCAGGAAGAAAAAAATGAAAAAAGAAATGTCCAACGAGGCATTCTGGAGCAGCATAGACAGGTCTTTTCTGTGTTAGAGTTGTACTCGCTACAGGGTGTACTTTGAGGGTTTGTGACTCTGCAGACCGTTTACATGCAGAACAACCTTCATAACACACAAGGGGACGGGTAATGACCAGAAAAGCATGACATGGGACCTTTAAGTCCATTCAATAAAAAACTCCTTTGTTGGTGTTGTGGTTTCTATTTGCAACAAATGTGAAAATTACACTTCCTATTTTACGATTCAGGGGGGCATTATACAGACAAGAACAATCTACATAAACTGCATCCATCCCAAAAATAACAATAAGAGCTTGTGGAAAAAAGACTTCCCCGCCTCCCCATTCTAACCATCATCACCTGTCCCCATTGTTCTGCTCTTTATGGACACACATGTAATATAATTATCTTAATATAATCTAAAACCACAGACAAATAATCAAACAATCTGAATAATATTAAAGTAAAAATGTCTCTAAAATCCCTGTCTTCATCCTTGTCCTGTAGATACGAGCTCTTCCTGCCTCTGCATGACCTCTGGAGACAGTATGTTATCGACCTGTGCAGCGGGCTGAAGCCAACAAGGTAAAGCACTTTGGATTGTCACACATCAACTCGGCCAATCCCAATAAACTGCACATGAGAAGTTTGCAGAAGTCCTTTGATTCCCTGTGTGCGCCGTCTCATGTGTGATGCTGTGTTTTTACAGCAATCCACAGTTTGTGCAGCAGAAGCTCCTGAAGGCTGACTTCCACGGTGCCATCGTCACAGGTAGAGTTTCAGCTTTCTCTCACATCAACATCACTGTGAGATAGGGCTGCTCAATCAATCGTATTTTAATCGCAATTACGATTTTGGCTTGCAACGATTATGAAAACAACATAATCTAAATAAAACGATTTTTTTATTTTTAAATTGTATTGGTTTTTCAGTTGAGTTATACTTAAAGTTCAGGGTAATCAACTGTTAAAAACATACTTCTCAAAAATTTTTTAAAGAAATTGATGCTTTCAAAGTAAATGAATAATCGTGATCTCAATTATTGACCCAAATAATCGAGATTATGATTTTTGCCATAATCGAGCAGCCCTACTGTGAGATACATCGGTGTCACATTTGAAGTCATAGTGAAGTTTAATATGAGTGAACATAAGCCGTAGACCCTGATTTCAGGTTTTAAAACAAAAAAAACGATTTCTTAATTAATTTGTTTTAGATATAAAGAAACACTACAAAACAATAATGATAATATATATATATCTTTTAAGTGTAAAGTGAAATAATGACTTAATAATAATCTGATGATTCAAAATAACCTTAAAGGTCCCATGTCATGGCCATTTCCACTGATCATAATTCCATTGTTGAGGTCTACTAGAATAGATTTATACTGTGCAATCTTCCAAACTCACATTGGTTTCTCAAACAGCATCTCTGTAAAGTATGTGTATTCACCGGTATTCACTCTCTGTCCTAAACGCCTTGTTGGAGCTCCTGCCCCCCCTCCCTGTGAGCCCACTGTGCACTGATTGGTCGCGAAGCTGAGAGGCTCGTTGCTGCTCGCAGCTCCTCGCAGCTGTGTGAGCTTCTGCAGGAGCAGACAGGGCTTCCGTGTCGTCTCGGCGATACAGGAGAACAAGCGAAACTCATCCTGAGCACACACAAACATTCACAGCCGAAGTAAAAACAATAAGTGCGGCTTGATATTGAGTAAGAAAAAGGTTTATAACGCTGTGAGCATGGGTCTGCGGAGAGCATTTCTCCGCGATCCCAACTTAGCAGCCCGAAAAACGTTTACCCATTTAAACAGTCGTGGTAGATACCTTGTTTGTTTTAAACATCATAAATACACAAACAACAATGAATACTTACAGGTTGTGTACCCGAATCTCCCGCTGGTCCAAACAAAGTAGGAACAGCATCGTTCTTCAGTGCCCTACGCTGTACATATCCGGCATGAATCGTTGAAAGGTTTGGGAAGCTTTGTTTCTTGAAAGGCTGGCAGAGGGTGCGGCCATAGCTCTGGGCGTGGCTACTAGGTATCCCTGCGTGGCTACTGGGTATCCCTACTTAGCGATACCCAGGAAGTAAATGAGAAATCTCCAACGAGGCGTTTTGGGGAGGTATTTTCTGGGTTTGTGACTCTGCAGACCGTTTACATGCAGAAAAACCTTCATAACACACAAGGGGACGGGTAATAACCGGAAAAGCATGACATGGGACCTTTAAAACTCTTATGGCCATAATACATAATAAGATCACCCTACTGGTTTTTTAATTAAACAAACATTTATTTTGCATCAAAAATATCACATCTTTTTTTTTTGTGAACATCCTCTTTGTAAAAAATCTTAAATGTGTTATCATTCGGCCACCTGCTTCCATAAAGGATAAATAAGACATAGGCATAGCAAACACTGTGAGTCGGATCTTTCCTATGGGTCCTATAAGACCTTTTTCAAATGACTCTGATATTATTGATTATGGAGATCATTCATTCACAACAATCTACTTATTGTATGCCCATCAGAGAATATCCTATTGTGCTGACTGAGTTCTAATAGTTCATGTTTGTCTCTGTCACAGTGGTGCGCTCTAAATGCCCGTCGTATGTAGGGACTACTGGGATCATCGTCCAAGAATTCAAACACGTCTTCAAGATCATTACCAGAGAAGACAAACTGAAAGGTAAGACTCACAAAAACACGACACAATCATTTTGCTTTCCAGTCGTCTGTCCCTCCATCATATTCTTAGTTGTTTTTAACTATGGTCCACCCAGGGGCGCCGCCAGGGATTTTGGGCCCCATGAAAAGATATCACATTGGGCCCCACCACCAGGCCCAGGCCACGCCAACCAAGCTCAATGCTGTAACCACACCTCCAGAACCCAACCGACTCATTTATGCTTTAAATAACTCTACCTGTACAGGCTTGCATCTATCTTGTAGTCCAATACTAACTGCACAGTATTTACTGACACTGAACGGTGAACATATAACACTGTGCAGATGTGCAACATTCTACTGCAGTAGAATTCACTATTTGATATAACACTAACATTCCTGACAATAGACCTCAATAGTCATCTTTTATGGTGTACATGCCTTTTTGAATGGAACATTCAAAAATCAAAATAAATATAACTTAAATATACATGACCTCTTAAATAAAAATAAAGTGAACATTAACACCAATATTATCATTTATAAAATGCTATAACAAAATGGGTCATGGGGTAGGTCATTTTGGAGAAACCAGCTCGAGATCGCTAGAATTTGAAAATACACAGCCGGAAGAAATCTGCCACTTCCTTACAGAGCCCCTCCTCCAACAACACACACGAACGCACACATGACCAATGAGGGCACGAGATAAGTTTGTGCACAGATGGAAGGCTGACAGGCAGGTAGGCCATCCAGTTACTTTAGCCGGCCGGCTCAGATGATTGGTCGTGCTTTTTACAGTACTACGGCTTCCACAGATGAATTTTTTTTAATGGATTTTTTGTCAAAGCACTTCAGATATTCATTGCTATCGGGATGTTAAGAGCATTCCATGGAATATAACAAAAAGTTATTTTCTCAAACTTACTTACCCCACCTTTAATGTCAGCAAAACATTACAATTATTATTTACAATGGACTACGCTTAGCTAACAGACTAATTTCCACCACTCATGGACCACACCCACCTTTTCTTTTGAAAAACTGGGTGACATACTGTCGCCCTTTAGTCCCTCTCTCTTGTCTTTCTCTCCTTTCTTTTCTTTCTTGAAAGCCTGACTTTGTTAGTCGTTGAGACTAGTGATGTTACGTATTGCGCCGAGGCTTCGGAGCGTGTGTCGAGTAATCCCCGAAGCTTTTTGTGAACCTTGTATCGAGGCTTGTATCGTTTTGGGCCAGTGACGTCATGGATGACAAACGAAGCCTCGCTGCCTGTCGATACCACGTGACTGCTTCACGAAGCGATTCAGATCGGTTGAACCGTTGAACCACAACGCTCATAATATCCATGGATGTATAACAAGAACCATATTACCCCTCCTGTACCGGGGCCCTGTCCTCACACGATGGAATTAAGAGAGCTCAGACCCTCACTTATATAGAGGTCGGAACATGTCATAAGTATAAATAAATAAAAGTATAAATAAATGTAGGAATAAAAAAAAAAAAAATGAATAAATACAGGACTAAATATATTTCAGTGTTTTCAGTGAGATTCAGCTTGTGTGCTGTGGCTCAGCTGGAAAGCAGTTGACTCACGATCGCAGGGTCCCTGGTTCAATGACTGAACAATACGTATTTGTTGTTGTTTATAAAAGCTACAGCTAAATGAGATAATGTAGTTGATAAATGTATTCTTTGATATGGTTTAGCCTTTCTCAGGCTACAACATGGTTAAGTTTATGCATATTATTAAGGAATACAAATCCCTCTTTGCAATGTGTACCAGCCTCCTTAGGCTTTTCAATCACAATCATTAAACTGGAATAAATACAATATTGTTAACATGAAAATATGATTTTATGTTCGTTGTTTAGAGTTATTCTAAGGCTTTACTCAATGGGAACTCGGTATGAGATAGAGCACACTGTTGAGATGTCCAATCTGCCTGTTTTACACACTTTGACCAACAGGGGGGTTTGTGTTCAAATGAAGCCCATGATGAAGCCTCATGAGATGAACCCTTTTGCGAACCAATTGGCTGGAAAGTAGTGATGTTACGTATTGCGCCGAGGCTTCGGAGCGTGTGTCGAGTAATCCCCGAAGCTTTTTGTGAAGCATGTATCGAGGCTTGTATCGTTTTGGGCCAGTGACGTCATCAATGACAAACGAAGCCTCGCTGCCTGTCGATACCACGTGACTGCTTCACGAAGCGATTCAGATCGGTTGAACCGTTGAACCACAACGCTCATACCCATGGATGTATACTAAGAACCATATTACCCCTCCTGTACCCGGGCCCGGTGACACGATGGAATCAAGAGAGCTCAGATCCTCACTCATATAGAGGTCGGAACATGTCATAAGTATAAATAGATACAAGCATAAATAAATGTAGGAATAAAAACATCAATAAATACAGGAATACATATGTTGCAGTGTTTTCAGGGAGCTTTAGTGTGTGTGCTGTGGCTCAGCTGGAAAGCAGTTGACTCATGACCGCAGGGTCCCTGGTTCAACGACTGAACAATACGTATTTTTTGTTGTTTATAAAAGCTACAGCTAAATGAGATAATGTAGTTAATAAATGTATTCTTTGATATGGTTTAGCCTTTCTCAGGCTACAACATGGTTAAGTTTATGAATATTATTAAGGAATACAAATCCCTCTTTGCAATGTTTACCAGCCTCCTTAGGCTTTTCAATCACAATCATTAAACTGGAATAAATACAATATTGTTAACATGAAAATATGATTTTATGTTCGTTGTTTAGAGTTATTCTAAGGCTTTACTCATTGGGAACTCGGTATGAGATAGAGCACACTGTTGAGATGTCCAATCTGCCTGTTTTACACACTTTGACCAACAGGGGGGTTTGTGTTCAAATGAAGCCCATGATGAAGCCTCATGAGATCAGTGGCGGCACCAGAGATTTTCTCTAGGGGGTGCTGTGGGGTAGCTTGACGTTTCATAGAGGGTGCTCAAACATTAAGGGTTTCCCATTAATGCACCAGCGCTACAGTTGAATTTTCTACTGCAACACTCCACACACACACACACACACACACACACACACACACACACACACACACACACACACACACACACACACACACACACACACACACACACACACACAGTGTACCCGCGACTGTTACAATGAAGGCTCGATAATCAGCTCACGGCATATAGGTGTAAGCAGGGGTAAAGTTCTATTTTTACAAGTGGGGAGTGGACCTCACCTCCTCTAGGGGGGTCCGGGGGCATGCTCCCCCGGGAAGATTTGTTTTAAATATTGAAGTTAAAAGCATCAATCTGGTGCACTTTGAGAGCAACATTAAAAGATCTATGGATACATCTCTCAACACCCATATGAAACAGAACTGTAAACAGATTTTCTATTTCTTCATAGACATTTTACAAATCACTCCCCTTTTTAAAACAAACCGTTTGAGACCCACTGAGATAACTAGACTAAAGTTAATTATCTAATCACTGAGAGTCCTTTACTTCACCTGAGCTGAGGTTATCTGAGACTCTCAGTCTGACAGGAGAGAGTTCTCCCTCCACCTTGTTGTTGAAAAAGCTCCTTATATCCGTTAGCTTGGCTAGCTAGCACCAGATGCTAACCACAACGATCTCCGGTAGATACCCACCGGTGCGCGAGCTCTCTCTCTCGCTCGCGCACGCACACAAAATGGCTCGTGCCACACGCAGAGCTTGAATGAAACACAGAGACCCAGAAGTAAGCTACTTGTACTCACGAAGCCTATTATGTGCAGAATCCCACTCGCTTTCAGGTGGTTTTGATTGAGTGTCCACACGTGGACGTTTAAGGACTAAAAAAAGAATAATTTGTTCACTTTGCTGTTAGCAAATCATTTGGCGCTCTAGCTAACAGGAAGTCACTCAAGTGTCGCAAAGTAATTTAGCCTATGGGTAGGTCAAAAATTGAATGGGTGCTGGCCATTGGCCTAATCATATCACCTGTGTTGGCTTTATGTTTTTGGTCAAACATTTGTTTGTTTCACATTTGCATTGATGTAATCAATAATTTTTCAAATTTTAATTTGATAAAAATAATAATAATAATTTTCGAAGAAACAAAAAAAAACACATATTTCTTGGGGGTGCTTAGGGGGTGCTTTGGCAATCCTGGGGGGTGCTTCAGTACCCCCTAGTTCCCCCCTGGTGCCGCCCCTGCATGAGATGAACCCTTTTGCGAACTAATTGGCTGGAAAGCTTCAAAGCTTCATCAGGCTTCATCTCGCCATCACTAGTTGAGACATCGTACACACGTAAGTGTACTAGCATCCCTCCTCACATGCTCTCACTCTCTGCTATAAAGGGCCGGTGCCGCACAGCGTTTGGAGGCAGGACCAAACCATTACATGTAAATAGAGGGGGGTGTTCGATGCTTTGGATAATTAACTTTTGGAAGAAAATAAGTAAATTAATCGTAGGTTTAGTGAGTACATTATCAATATGACGTTATATTAATGTTAATTATTGATGATTGATGAAAGGTTACTTAAAACATTTTGCTTGATGTTCTAAAAATGTTTGGGGCCCCTTTCAGTCATGGGCCCTTAGAATCGTCCTAACTTTTCACCCCCTTACGCCGCCCCTGGGTCCACCATGTCAGAATTGTCACAATACAATATAATGTTCTACCAAAATATGGTGAAGCTTTTGATGGCAGTGTTACAGATTGTTTTTATTCTCTCTGTGTGACAGTGATCCCCAAGAGGAACAGCGTGTTCTCAGTGGAGATCAACGGCTTCGTGTCCCACATCTACGGGAGCAAGTTTGAACAGCGAGCCAGTGAACGCTCCGCCAAGAAGTTTAAAGTGAGAGGAACCATCGACCTGTGAGGAGTCAGTGACCATCAGAGACATGACACACACTGCCCTCTGTAGGCAGTCAGAGGAACCATCAATCTGTGAGGAGTCAGTGACCATCAGAGACATGACACACACTGCCTCACACTGCCCTCTGTAGGCAGTCAGAAGAACCATCGATCTGTGAGGAGTCAGTGACCATCAGAGACATGACACACACTGCCTCACACTGCCCTCTGTAGGCAGTCAGAAGAACCATCGATCTGTGAGGAGTCAGTGACCATCAGAGACATGACACACACTGCCTCACACTGCCCTCTGTAGGCAGTCAGAAGAACCATCGATCTGTGAGGAGTCAGTGACCATCAGAGACATGACACACACTGCCTCACACTGCCCTCTGTAGGCAGTCAGAAGAACCATCGATCTGTGAGGAGTCAGTGACCATCAGAGACATGACACACACTGCCCTCTGTAGGCAGTCAGAGGAACCATCGATCTGTGAGGAGTCAGTGACCATCAGAGACATGACACACACTGCCTCACACTGCCCTCTGTAGGCAGTCAGAGGAACCATCGACCTGTGAGGAGTCAGTGACCATCAGAGACATGACACACACTGCCTCACACTGCCCTCTGTAGGCAGTCAGAGGAACCATCAATCTGTGAGGAGTCAGTGACCATCAGAGACATGACACACACTGCCTCACACTGCCCTCTGTAGGCAGTCAGAAGAACCATCGATCTGTGAGGAGTCAGTGACCATCAGAGACATGACACACACTGCCTCACACTGCCCTCTGTAGGCAGTCAGAAGAACCATCGATCTGTGAGGAGTCAGTGACCATCAGAGACATGACACACACTGCCCTCTGTAGGCAGTCAGAGGAACCATCGATCTGTGAGGAGTCAGTGACCATCAGAGACATGACACACACTGCCTCACACTGCCCTCTGTAGGCAGTCAGAGGAACCATCGACCTGTGAGGAGTCAGTGACCATCAGAGACATGACACACACTGCCTCACACTGCCCTCTGTAGGCAGTCAGAGGAACCATCAATCTGTGAGGAGTCAGTGACCATCAGAGACATGACACCCACTGCCTCACACTGCCCTCTGTAGGCAGTCAGAGGAACTGCAACAACAATGGCACATTTAGCAAGTGCATTGTGGTATTTTATTGTTTGTGGAACCATACATTTTTTTTGTATTTTAAAGGGATCCCCGCTGACTCTGCTCTGGATTCATTGTAGTTACACATGGTGAGGACTGAAAAGCCACTAACTCAGTTAGATAATGTTTTCTGTGTGCGAGAAAATAACCCTGATGATGTCATCACTCATCTGATTGGAGAATTCAAAGTAATAGGGATGTCCCAATTGCGGCCCTTTTCCCAATCCAAGTGGATTCAATATTGTAATGTTAATTAAATACATATCTGACACTGTAAAAATACAGACTGTCATTTGTAACCTATTGTATACCAGCTACTCGAACCAAGAACCAAAGTCTGGTATCATTTCTAATAGTATTTTGTTCATGCTTTTTGCAAGCGCTGCTTCAGAGTGACAACAATGAAAAACATGTCAGAAAGTGGTTGTTTTTTGAAAATATGTTAAAATTCCTCAAAGAAAATCCTCACTAAATCCTTTTTACCAGTTACATTTCAAATAAAGCCCAGTTACTTGTGTAGTGTTAGGCTCATTAGACTGTAAACCTGTGAACTATGGTATTTACTTTTGAGAGCTTTGTGTATAGTGCATGAGGAAATAAAAAGGGGATTTTTTCCGTTGGACAGCAGTGTTTGTTTTCATTATGAAATGTATTTTGTACAGAATAGGATGAAGCTAAAGTGACGCAAATGTCCGTCTGCACCCTTTGTGTAACAGATCAAGTGAACCTCTGTGGACTGTAAACTACTGAACTGAATACAAACATGACACTGTGTGTACTGAACTCCTTTACCTGCTCTGCCTCTCACACACAGAGAACGGGTTTAACCGTGTCTGACACTGCTGAGCTGCACATTTATCTCCATTATATATCCAAGACATGTTATCAGTGTGTTATTGTATCACAGCTGTGTGGCCTCATTACACACAGGTTTCACTCAGATCACATTACTGATCCAGACGTACAGGTTTGTTTCTGTTTGGAGCCGAATATAATCTGTAAGGAGGAGTTTATTATGTCATGATTACACACAATGTTGAAATGTCTTTCGGCTTGCACACGTAGAAATGTATCTTGGGTCTTTTGTAAAATAAAAGCCTTCTCCAAACAATCAGTTATAAAACTAAAGTCACAGTATTATAAATAATAATAATAATAACTTGAATTGATATAGCGCCTTTCATAACCTCAAGGTCACTTTACAAAGAAACATACAAGACATAAAACATAAAACGGGGCAGAAATGGAAGTGTAAGTCGGGGGGAGAGTGAGTTATTGTTGGAAGGCGATGTTGAACAGATGAGTTTTAAGGGTTGATGTGAAGATGTTGAGAGAAGGGGCGTTGCGGATTTCTGTAGGGAGGAGGCGTGAAGGTGGAATGGAGATTAGGCCAGAGTCTGAGGATCGAAGGGTGCGGGACGAGATGTAAGGGTGGAGGAGATCTGTGAGGTACTGAGGGGAGAGGGCATGGAGGGACTTGTAGGTGAGGAGGAGGAGTTTGTAGGTGATGCGGGACTTGACCGGGAGCCAGTGGAGGTTGAACAGAGTGGGGGTGATGTGTATTACATATGATTCATATGAGCTGATATGTTACAAGCACACAGCTGTGTGCTAAAACACTTTTAGCATTTCCACTTTTCTAATGATAGAGTCTGGCTTGGATTTGTTTCAGATGTTAGCACACATACATATATTTATTTCACTCCACGTTGTAAAAACTAGTCCCTACAGCCATGCATTTCTAATAACAGATTTTGCACTTACAATCAAAACAGAACTTATTCTAAATAGGATATAGGACATATAAAAAGAAAAACATTTGTGGAGATGAAATAGACCCTTGTCGTCGTCACCCTTAGACATGTATAGTGTTGAGTTTTTCATTTCAAAACATTCATATTCTGATATCACACTGTCCTAGTCATGTTAAGAATCATTTCCTTAGGTCACATCTCTACTTGTGTCAGGTCTTTCTCTCCTTAATATAATACCAAATATTTGGGAAGCCATTGAAAAGCCTCCAGATGAAGAGGCTTACTGCAGGATCAATCTGTGAAGAGAATTGCCTCCGAATCGATGGTGACGTACAAAGTGACTGCATAATTGTTTTCACCTGTATTGTTTCTTTGTCTGTTCTTCTTGGCCGAGCCTTTAATAAAAACCTTAGTGTTGTCAGACATCAGTTCCAGCTTTCAACAGCCTCTTTGTGATTTCCACAGAATGAATGCAACAACAAAAATAATCCCATTACATATAATGCTTACATCTGATTGTTAAGTTTAAAACCAAAGTTTCTTTATACCCGACACCAGTTTTTCGAAAATTAAGAGATTCAGGACAATTATTCATGTCGTACCAACTAATTGTAGAAGTTATCTCAAGACGCTTTTCGTGAAGAGCAGGACTACACCGTACTTTTAAAATGTGCTGTGTAATAAATAAGAGTGACATCATGTTTATTGCAGTGTCTAACATAGACATATCATTTGCGAGTCTTGCTTCTTGTCTTGCTTCTTGTCTTGCTTCTTAACCCTCGTAATGTCCTCCCGATTGCTATGCACCTTGTGCCCTCTGGGGTCAAAAATGACCGCATCTGGCTTGTCTGATATTTAACGCATAAAGTATCAAATGTGAATCAATTTTGTGTTACACCTTTAGTTCTACTTCAGTACAACCCATTACCACACATGTTTCCCTCAGTTTTGGAATTTAGGGCCGATATACCCTTATTTATATGAAATTACACCATTTTCTGATAAAAAAAAAAATTGAAACAATGAATTAATTTGACCATATTGTATTGTAACTATTTGTCTTATCTGGTACTGGTATATGTCAAAGTTTAGTAAGGATGCCCTTTTTGAATAATTTAATCACACCTTGTGCCCTCTGGGGTCATTTTTGACCCCGTCTTGCTTGACTGTTATTTCAAGAATTTAAAGTGGAAACCTCACGCATTTCTGTGTTACACATTTAATGTGCCCTCAGTTGCATGCAGGGCAGGTAACAATGGTGTGATCTTTGCAGATGTATGCATTGCATCTTTGGCACATTTTCTTGGTTTTGACATCAATCTGGCGAGGGCAGAATTTGCACCTGCTCCTTTTGGGTGATGGGTCAGGAGGGGGAGCTTGGCGAGCGGGAGCTGGGTGACGGGTAGCTGCTGCAGAGGTAGAGCTGGAGCAGAACTGCTGGACCTCTATAACCAAACTGGCAGCGGCTGGCGTGCGGGGAAGAACCTGTCAAGTCAAGTCAAACTTTATTATAATAAATCACAGTGCAAATACAAAAAGTTCAAATTGTGAGGACACTACAGAAGGAAGAGCAACAGAAATGAAGCTTAAATGTGAATGACTGTAAAACGACACCATCATTGACCCTTAATGGGCAAGCCTATACAACCTCATACATGAGGTTGTATAGGCTTGCCCATTAAGGGTCAATGACGTTACTACATGCCTGTAGTGTGTTACATAGATTGTCTGTGCATGTAAATGGTCTGCAAAGGCAAAATCCCAACGTTTCCTCCAGAGGGAGTTTCTCCCCCCCGTCTGAAACGCCGCCATTGTAGTCCTTTGTTTTCCTCAGCAACATAGTGGATCACAATGTACTACATACAAATATGAACCTGAAAATGAGCGTAATATATCCTCTTTCCGTTTCCTGTATGCTTGCTCACTGTCACAGCTTTTAGGGGAAATGTAATCGAACCTAGGCAAAACACACCTGATCCTTAGTGTGAACCTGTGCTGAATTTGTCCCTGAAACATGATTTATTAGAAAAATGTAATGTGTTTGTTTGACAGATAAAAAATGTATTTGCAAAACTAAATGCATTAGTTTGTAGATGGTGTTTTGTATTTGCAAACCACATTGTGTTTGTTAATGAATCATAAGGGAATTTGTAAAACTTGTTTAGTTTGTTTGTGGAGTTATGGCGGGAAATTAGCTCCATAGTATGGGCCCTTAACCATTTCCTCCAATGGTGCTTCCCACAACCTTGTGTGTACCACACCTTTGTTTAAGGGCGGGCCTTCATTTTGATCTGGACAACACATTAAAAAATGTTGTGACTGTGGTTGTGACGTTATCGCTATCACAAGAAGATCTACACTGACCTTACATGGCAAAGAACTCAAAAGTCACCCACACAGAATGATATTTTCCCGGTTCAGACACAATTTAAGCTTGTCTCTCTCAAAACATTGAAGTTATTTAATGTTTTGTAGAATAGAGTAGCATTGGTGCTAGGCTTTAGAGGGTTCAAATATTATTCTTGTGGTTAAGCATTCACCTCTTACCATAACCCTGCTTGCTAGTATACAGTATGTGTTAGGATGTGCGGTGACTAAAATAATACATCCTCTGTAAAGGAAGGAAGACAGATTTAATGAGCGTGCATCAATCAGTAGATAGTTTACACAAGAAACGACGAGTTGACAGGATGTGGTGCAGCTGCTCCACCAGTTGACTGCCCTGTGGTTTATCATGAAACCTGAGCTCTCTTTTGTTCTGGTCGAGTGAAAAAGGTTTCTATTGATACTTTATTAATCCAGTTTCTCCTTTTGTGTCATCCAATAACCTTTTGTTGCATGCATAACCTCAGTATATACTTCAATATTCACTTGCTCAGGTGTTTCATTTCAATTTAATTAAAGGCTGATGATGCATTGGATGGTAAAATATAAATGCATGAAATGCATCAATTATCAGCAAAAAATGTGGAAGCCTGAGGTTCCTTTGAACTAACCGTATCAGTCTGAATCTTTTTGACTCTCAGGAGAATCAAAATGACTTATGTGTAAGATCAGAAAAACAGAAGGGCTTTTCCTCTACAGAAAGGGATTTTCAGTTGTCAAAATGCTGTGTAAATAAATGCAGGCATTTCCTCCTTCCTATTTCTTTATTTTGGTGACTTTCTCTGAATTCAAATGTAGCTCCCGCCCCCTCACCTATTGCAACATGTTTTCTTCTGAAAGCGGAATTTGCTTTGGAAAGTCCAGTGATGTCACCAGGCGCTAAGGCTTTAAATACCTCTGCAGAGCTGCCTGTCTCATCAGACACACAAAACACACACGCATGACTACTTCTAACAGCCACAGAGGACTATCTGCAGAAAGACGACAGCATACTGCTAACAACAAACAAGGACACTATGGAAGAACAGCTCATGTTTGCTCAGAATAACCGTGAGCGGATCCAGGCTGTGGAGAATTCATTTGGGCCGTCTGGGAAGGCCTTGTCCCAACCGGGCCGGGTCCTGATCGGAGAGGGCCGGCTGATGAAGCTGAGCCGCCGGGGGCCACAGCCCAAAGTCTTCTTCCTCTTCAACGATGTGCTGGTGTACGGCAGCATCATTTTGAACGGACGATGGAACAAAAAGCAGCAGGTCATCCCTCTAGGTGAGCAACTTACAAATTCCTCTAAGGAGAAAGATAAAGCTTAATTGTTCCATAACTTTCGTGCTTCTGTAATAAACAACAATAAAGGGCCAAAACAGTTAGAAGCAATTTTTTCTGCAATAAAGCATTGCCTTTGTTTGTTAAATCTATTGCAATCCGTTGCATTTATCAAACATAATCTTGTTAACACTTCTCTCTGCTTACATGGCATAACTTGCCACACCGTTTTGTGCAGGCCTAAATGCCAAATCATGTTCACCTTTGTAGCCTTGTCCTAACAAACCCTTTTTGCATCATTTCAGAGTACATCCAGATAGAGGACTTGGAGGACAGCACGAAAATGAGGAACCAATGGTTATTGCGCACCCCACGCAAGTCCTTCTACATGGCGGCGGTCTCGTACGAGGAGAAGCGAGCCTGGATCGAACACATCGAGGAGTGCCAGTCCAGGCTGCATAGCGCCGGCTCCAGGCCAAGACCCGACTTCGCCGTTACCTGGATCCCCGACCAGGCCTCTGCGGTCTGCATGCGCTGCTCCAACAGCTTCAGCGTGACCCACCGGCGTCACCACTGCCGGAAATGCGGCTTTGTGGTCTGCGGGGCTTGCTCCAAGAAGCGAGCAGTAATCGAACACATTCACCCCACTAAGTTCTTGAGGGTCTGCAACATGTGTCACTCCAGCCTTTCCACAACGAAACATCGAGCAGAGATCAAGGAGGAGTCTCGTGGGATGGGGAGCAGCACCGACAAGATATGCTCCGATGAAGATGAGGTGGATTGGTGCAGTGAGGAAGAGGAGGCAGAGGAGCAGCTGGAGGAGCATGACCCCAGCAGATGGATGGACTCTCTAATGGACTCCTGGTCCACATATGTCTACCTGAAACCAGAGCATGTGAGGCCCCTCACATGAGTTGGACTAACATGGACACACAACTAAAGCAGCTTTGCAAGGCATTATGACTAAACAAAACAATACTTTATAAAGTCAAACTATTTTGTACATATTGAATTGAATTTGTAGGTTTCTATATTTTTGTTTCACATTTTGCTGTTTGTGGAAACTATTGCTGTGAACTTGATTTGTTACACTATTTTATTTAAGGCTGGTTTCAGTCACGTATGTCTATGTTAATGTTTGTGCACATGAGAGCATTTGGACCTGATGCATGCGTCACATGACAAATAAAGCACTTTCAAAGTCAAAATCTTTCTGTGATGATTGGAGTGTTACTACGGCTATCAGTCAGGATATTCTGTGCAACAAAGCCTCTAAGATATTTACTGTGAACAGAAAGACAGTCATGGTCAAATGGGCATCATACAGTATGTGGATCATAAACGACCACAGTTTTTTTAACAATTCCAATATCCCCCATACACATTGTGATAAGATGACTGTTATGGCCATACTATGTGATATTCATCATATTCATTATCCTATGCATTGAATACAGGCATTGCGATGCTAATTTCTCCATGTATATATAGTTATAGAAGTGATTGATTTTATTTACCTCTAAAAAATGATGAGTTTTTTAAATAAGCATTCCCTTTGATCCTTTATCTATACCCTGGCACTAGGACTTACTTTACCATAAGCAGCCAAACACTTATACCATGCAAATTCAACATTCATATCCTTGTGTTATGTTCACATTTCACACCCTTTGGTAATGTTCGGGTCAAATTGACCCGGGACATATTTCAGGGTTTAAAACAAATACAGAACTAAATTCAACATGCACAATTCCTTATATATATTGTCTTTAACTCATTCCCCAACAATATAAATGAAATATATGATTAGTTTTTTAAAATACTCTTTGCTAGATCAAATGTAACAATGGAAGTGTCCATCGTTTTTTGTGATAAAAATGTAATTTATGTTGAAAAAAATACACTGTAATAAAAACTAGGTTTACATGTTGCTCATGCTTTTCTAGGACTAATGTAAATGAAACATTTTTTCATTAATGTTTATTATTTTTAATCTGTCATATAATAATCAAAGCCCTGAAGGAAATAAAGCAATTTATCAGCAATTGGAACACAAGAACCACACATCCAAAAGTATTTGGCTGTGAAATAGAGAGAGAATGAAACATCCATATAAATGACATAGAACAGATATAAACACAAAGCAAATAAAAACAATTAACAGTCACTTATCATAAAATACAGTATATCCGAAAACTATATTGATGAAGTGACGCTGCAGAACATCATGTGAGTCAATGGGCAAGTCCGTTTAGGAAACACATGATGTGCAGAACTTCTTCGTGTGTACAGCACAGATGTACTTGTTGCAGTTGCTGCATGTAGTCTGTGTCTTGGAGTCATTTGAGGGTCCACAGACCTCACAGCTGGCTGTGGGGGTCTTCCAGAAGCTGACTGTGGGGGTCTTCTTGCGGCTGGCTGTGGGGGTCTTCTTGCGGCTGGCTGTGGGGGTCTTCCAGAAGCTGACTGTGGGGGTCTTCTTGCGGCTGGCTGTGGGGGTCTTCTTGCGGCTGGCTGTGGGGGTCTTCTTGCGGCTGGCTGTGGGGGTCTTCCCGAAGCTGACTGTGGGGGTCTTCTTGCGGCTGGCTGTGGGGGTCTTCTTGCGGCTGGCTGTGGGGGTCCTTTAGCGGCTGGCTGTGGGGTCTTCCAGCAGCTGGCTCTGAGTCAAGTTCATCTTCCAATTTGCTGTCAAATTCTGAGTTTACCTCCACATTATCCTCATCTTCAGAAATGTCTTCCTGTTCCACTTCACCGTGTTCCTCTAATGCATTCCACTCACTCTCATCCATTATTAGCTCCAAGGCTCTGAGCAGAATATCTTTTGGCCATTTTGTTGGTAGATAATTGTAGTTCTGCACTACACTGTTACTACACTGAGGTTATGTCTCTGTTTAGTCCCTCCTCCGGCGTGCAGGTGCGAGGGGGGACAGTGCGAGAAAATGTAAAATGTTTATACATTTCTGGAAGATCTAAAATGTTTATAATGTTCTAGGATAGTTTTGTGTACACACTACAAAGGGTAAAGATCAAGGGAAAACAGGATCAAACAGCTTCTCTATGCATACAATTGTGTGTGTGTGTGTGTGTGTGTGTGTGTGTGTGTGTGTGTGTGTGTGTGTGTGTGTGTGTGTGTGTGTGTGTGTGTGTGTGTGTGTGTGTGTGTCTCTTTAGTTTGTGTGTGTTTTTCTCTGTCTGTCTGTCCTGGTATTGTATCCGGGTCAGATTGACCCGAACCTCTTATGAAGGACATAAATGCGGGTGGGCATTTTTTCATAAGTGGAAAAAAATTAAAACAATTCCACATGTCCTTCACAATAAATAAGCCCCGACCATTGAGTTTCAGGTTGAATGAAAATATCCTTATACGTTTTTTTATTCATTGAAAATGGAAATCGGGTCAATTTGACCCGAACACCACACAAGGGTTAATACTAATACAGCACATTATATATTGTATAATATACAGTACAATATACTGCAATGTTGTATGTCTTTGACGTTATATAAACTTTCATAGTTCCAAGAAGATGAATCCTCCTGACTTTGGTGAACTGACCGTTCCCCTCGTGTAACCAAGGTTGGATAGATAGTGATAAGCACACACATTTTCTTCACCAAGTCATTACAGTTCATCCTGTGGGGCTCTCTTTTTATCTTATGCTTTCATCAGGTCAATATTAAGGCTTCATCTTCGTCATTTTTGTCAGTTTGGTGTATAATCAAACATCTGCAAAAAATAATGACAATCAAATGTAGGAATCAGCAGGTTACCATGCTGACCTTTTTAGCTCATAGCCTTAAAGCTAGTGTTAGCATAGCAAGAACTCCCTTGGAAATACGCACAAAAGAAGGACCTGTGGCTATATCAAATGTTCATGTATGTACATGTTTTGTTCTCTTAGCTAAGGTAAGGCTATGAATAAAAAACATCATGGTAGCATGACTTGACATCGTCCCTGCTAAGTAGGGTTGCCAACCGTCCCGTATTAGCCGGGACGCCCCGTATTTGAGCCAAAAGGGGCGGGACTTTGTTTGTCCCGGACTCCCGTGTAAAGGGAAAAATAAAAAATATTTTTCTGTTTGCGCGCAATGCAGTGTGTCTGGCTGCGTGCCTGTCTGTTTGTGTACTGTATCCGAAGGGCGCTAGGACCGCTCAGTTGACAGGGCAGGCACAATGCTCGCACGCGCGCGTGTGTGTGTGTGTGTGTGTGTGTTTTTCTCCCGTGGGCCGCGGTCGCGGCATCATTGTTTGCGTGGCATGTCAGCCTGTTCAGTCGTGTGGGGAAATGAGCGCTGCCGGTGGAGGAGGTGATAATGAAAGAGGAGAAGAGAGAGAGGATGTGGTTCTGGGCCCTGGCCCTTCTAAAAAGAAAAGACGTGTGTCTTACAACAGTGGGAAGAAAAACACAGTTGGGTAAAGCCCGTGAGTGGAGATCTGTCTCGGGTCTTCTGCGTGTGTGTGTGTGTGTGTGTGTGTGTGTGTGTGTGTGTGTGTGTGTGTGTGTGTGTGTGTGTGGTGTGTGTGTGTGTGTGTGTGTGTGTGTGTGTGTGTGGTGTGTGTGTGTGTGTGTGTGTGTGTGTGATTGATGGGAAAATGCTGGGAAAATGGTTGGTTGCAGGATAACATTAAGTCTAATAATGATGTACCGTGCATGTTCACATCATGTATACTTTGCATTACTTAATACCATTTTTCAAATATTTTATTTTTTAACATTTTGGACAAAATAGGCAATTGTACATCGAGGTGCCCAGATGTCCCTAGTGCCCACGAGGGAATCTGAAGTGGTAAAAAGCTGACACATTTCCGTGTTTAGGAGTCATTCCCGCACCACCTTATTGGAGCAAGACTTTATAGTTGTCAAAGGTTTTTTTCCAGTAATAATTGTTTTAATCTTTTTGTAGTCATTTTTTTTGTCAAAGGTTTTTTTTTGCCCTTTTCTTTTGTTATCAGTTTGAGTCTCTTTGAAGTCATTTTAAGCATAATTGAGTTTCCCCGTTTCATAGTCCTCATGAGTCTCCTTGAAGCTGTTGGCAGTTTTTTTTTGTCTCTCTTTGTGGCTATTTATTTCTCTTTCTGGTCATTTTGAATCTCTTCCTGGTTGGTAAATGTCTCTTTGCTTAAAATTGTGAAGGTGAAAGCCCTGCGGACCTAGTGCTGCAAGCAAGGCAGTAGCTCTTAGTGTGACACTTGGTGATGTTTAACATGTTTGACCTGACTCTTGCTGCAATGAAAACAGTTCTGTCAGCAGTTCACTACTGCTGACAATATTCACAACATTATTTACATGTTTCAGACATGAGAGGCCTCCAAATACTTGGAAATAACATGATCTTTTTGGTATTTTGAATATTTTTGCATTTGATTGTTGATGTCACAATGCTGGCAATGTTTCCCTAACAGATAGAGAGGGGTGTGGCGGCTTACGATAAAATGACGTGACTATTACTGGAACCATGTCATCATTAGAGTCTGGTATTTCCCGATTCAAAGTAAAAGTCCCTTCAGTGGGTAAACATTGCACACCAATGGACACGCTTCTGGATACTTTCCCACAACATACAGGTCATACCTTAAAACAAACCTGAAAAACCTGGTTTTCCCACTGACGGGAAAACCAGCAGTGACCTCGGCTTTGACTTTGGAGTCAAACCTGTTTGACTTACCTCCCTCTGGCACACTGTCTACAGAGAACAATAATATGTAGAACTGTTTCTAAAAGAAGACACCTTGGAGCAGTGAACTGATTCACATGAGGAAATAAAGTCATAAACTGTCTCAAGGAAGAAAAGGTCTCCTGAAAGCCCGCTAGGGCAGGTGCAGTGATTGCAGCAGTTGAACTTAACCCTTAAAATGTAAGAAAGAAAACATGTATCTCTACATATAATACAATATTAACAGTATTATAGTGTCTGGTTCCAATCCTCCAAACTTTACTTTATTTCAACTGGGTAAAAACGTCATACCAACGAAGCCATGCTCATGTTGCGACATCCCATCAAATCGTACTACCCTGGATGTATTGTGTAGACATTTCTCCTGCTGACACCTTGATGAGTAAATATGATGCAGGTGGATGTGAGCCCTTTTATCCAGCTTTAAAGGTTTTCACCGATTCTCTCGACAACAATGGCAGATGTTCCCAGCCGTGTATACCTGGCATTCAGGAGCTTTGGATATTTTAAATCTCCCCTTTCTCCCCTTTGT